CAAAATGTGATCAGAAAAGCTCACTTGAGCCTTCGGCTCAGGTGAGCTAAAAAGTGATGATCAAGGTAAAAGCTTTTGAAAAGTAGGTTAACTTCAAGGTCAGGGTCACAAGCTAAAAAATCATAGTGAATTCAGAGAGGTCTTGTCAATAATATGAACATATGTTTGATACAAAAGCCTTGTGTTTTCTCATTCAAAAGCCATGGCCAAATCACTTGTATTTGTCATTGAACTATATAAATGTGATATTTTGGGATTTTTTTATCCACACCTGTGTTTGACTAAGATTTAAATAAGAGAAATGGAGTATTAACACATTTTATGTTAAAACAATACATGCATCGAAAGAAAGTTACTTGGATAAAACGGTAATCATTACCAGGTATTGTGTACAAGCTCAATCGCCATGCTTAATTGCATTGTTTACCTCGAGGCGATAAATGATTGACACGCCGAGAAGCCAAACTTTGAAGTATTAATGATAAGAATCGGGTATCAACTACTGTGGTAACAATAGTTTAATTAAATCATGATTTGGCAGAACTTTCTCGATCGATCATTGCTAGTGTGTATATAAAATCCAACGACCCTTCGACATTACGTAATCGCCGGTTTACATTTAAGAAATGAATTTAATTTTTGAAGATTCATGAGGTTATGAACTACGACGCTTCAAGCCAGCATATTTCATGAAGCGCGTGAAGCGTTGTAGTTCATATACCTCATGAATCTTCAAAAAATTAAATTCATTTCTTATATTTACATTATTTTTCTTATGACTTGCCATAAATTTACGCCGTTCAACTGTTATTTTTAAAACAAAAACGCGTGCACTATATTCTTTGACTTTTTGACATTAAGAGCGGTATTATGACTTAACAGTAGAGATATTCATGCTTATTCGTGAAACATTCCTAATGTAGTTCATGAGGAAATATACTGCATTTTATTTTGTAAAGAATCATAGGGAAAATTTATTGGAAATGTAAATATATACTGATGTAAAAACTTTGAACACACACAAAACAATAATATTTAGAAATCTGTTAGCGTACAATAAATATTGGCGTTCATGGGCTCTTGCGCCAAATGTGCTAAAATTAGTAATGCTCTAAATATTCTTGTTTTACAGTCGTAAGTCAAACTTCAAGTTTGAAACAGGTCACAGGTAATTTCTTAGGTAATATACATCTGTAATATGAAAGCCCTATCTCTTCTAATTCAAAACATATATTTAAGTTTTTCTGACGGACAGTCGGAACTACAGACTGACAAACTAATATTCGAATTATATTTAATGTTTCCTCGCTTTCGCGAAAGCGGTGGACAATAAATGAAAAAGCAGACGCACGCATCAAATGTCCTCTTTAAAAAATCTTGGTCTCGGGAAAACAACAATTTGAATATGAGTGTAACACTGCAATTAAAAATTAAAAAAAATGGCTGAGTGATATAAGGAGGATTTGTATGAAACATGACTCTAGATCTGCATATGCCATTTAACATCTGAAAACTAAATCTAATTGCATAATGAGTACATGGAACATACTTTTTCTAGATCTATAAATTATGTGATATATTTGCAGTTAAATGCAAGATGGGCTTAATTGATAATGTCCCACAGAGTAAAACATCATCTTTGTTTATCTGCGCCTCTTTCAGTTACCTATTATCTATTTTCTATAGTGTGCTTTTTATCCTATTTAGGACCATTTCACAAAGAGTTTGGACTTTCAGTAAGGCTACTTGTTTACCGCCCGCCAAATGGCGAGTAGGTTCTCGTTGGTTAAGAAATTAATAACATCAGGAATTTTAAATTGTTGTTGTTGACAATGATGAGACTACTTAAGCTTCACCTCTGTGCAGGATGAGACATTGTAATTGGTTATTGATACACTAATTGGCATTTGCCCGAATTTCTATCCCATGTATATTTCAACAGTGAAGGAAAGCTGTATAAATTTCAGAAGCTAATTATGGAACGAGAATGCCACGCCTTACTGAAAGTCCAAACTCTGTGTGAAATAGTTCTATTAAAGGGGTATGGACACAGTTTCAGCTAAAAAATTTTAAATAATTTTTCTGTTTTTTTTTTTTTTTTTACAAATATATAATTATGGACTTCCATCCCTATCAGGACCTGATTTTCTACCTTTTAATGTCCATCAAGTACATGATATTTCAATATTGAATAAATAATTGAATTGAAGACAACGTGAAAATGCATTATTTGATAATGAAATTCATATAACAAGAATACTATTAAATACTTCGTCGGAAAGATGCATTGAAACATAAAGAGTAGAATTAGAATTTCAAAACAATTTACCCAGTTTTTTTAATTGCATGAATTTTTTTATTTATTAAAATAGAGGGATAACTATTTTTAAACATCAGGGTCATAAATTAGGACACATCTAAACCTAAATACTTATAGTAAAAATGAGATTGGAAGTAGTTTATTCAACAAATTCAAAATTTGTGACTAAAGTAAATACATACATATTAGTGAATCTATTAGTCATTTTGTACACTGTGCATATTTATCATGATAAATCTCAAATTATGTAGCTAAAACTTATGCTGTCTTCGAAGCGTTTTTACATAATTAAAAAAATATGCTTGTGGCATGTTACGAAGTCCTACGCTTGCGCCGTATATATAAGAATCATGATAATTTTATCAATATGCTCTAATTGACCAAAGCCTCGTTTGTACTTACCAAAGAAACAGGTTTTATAAGAAATAAAATGAAGTTTGTGTCATATTCCAGTGAAAATCACTATATTCCTTCAGAAATATCATACATGTAGTTAGGTTTGCTTTTGTGTTCCTTGGGCACTGTAACCTATTTTTCTCACTGCATCTTTCAGCAACAAAATATGTCCATGCAACGTGCATTATCTAACACACATTCAATCTGGGTTTTCCAGAACTCTTAAATCGGCCACTTCAATCTAAGCAATGTGCTCATTCAAATTAATCACTGTTAACGTTCTTAACCTTAAGTCTTAGATTTTTTTTGTTCTAGACATCAAATCTTTTTTTGTTAAATCATATCAGTTCATAGTTAGGAATTTCTTGAAAATTAAGAAAATACAAGTTTCATAATTTTAAAACACAAATCATGAAAATGCAATTTTGATATTTTCTGAGGAGTTATTAGAATGTTTACAACAATCTAACTTTTAATTTCAGATAAAAACTACAGGCCACCGCATTTATTCTTTTGCATAAAAGATGAACATGCAATTTTATAAGTGGAAAAGCTCAAATAAATGACTTTATTAATATAAAAATTTTGATTTTGACAAGTGTATGTCCAAGTATTTATATTTCTTTATTAAGATTGATATCGAAACTTATCTTTAATACAATATTTTCTATTCCAAATGTAAATGTGGCAAAAAAAAATACTAGCATTTTAACTGTTAAATTTATCTAATAAGGAGATAAAGGGCAATTTCAAGCCCAAAATTCCATTAAACAATACAAGAAAAAGAGAAGTGCAAGTATCGGCCCATGAGACAGTAGAGGTAAAATCATATGCCACGGAGGGATCAGCGTCCCCTGCCAACCGGTCACACCCGCTGTGTTCTCCTTGTCATGATCGGGAAATAACCGGACATTCTGTTGTCAGTTCAGTTTGTCAATAATGGAACAACAATTAGAATGAAAATCGTCATTTGACTATATGATAAATTGTATTTGCTGACAAGGTCATTGAATCGAACATAGAGCCTACGAAATTATGCATTTAAACAAAACTGCTGATATTCTTGCTTCAAAATTGTTTTTCAATAATTATTTTTAGAATTTTTACATATATGTAGATGTTCATGCTTTTCGAATCAACTTAGAGATATAAACCCTGTATGCAGGTGATGAAGTAAGGGACGCTGACGATTGAAATTAAAGGACAATACCTTTATCTCAGAGCTTGGCTGTAAAATTACCATTAGCGTCTTTTTAAGTGAAATATCCAAATAAGAAAACAGATATGTCAGATTCTGTGGTATCTTTTATCTCAATCTAACTGGGAAATATTGTATCAACATAAGAAGGGAAATTACCATTGTTATTTCACAATAAGTCGTCGATATATCTAAATGTTGAATTGAAAGCCACTGCAAGTGTTTTCTTCTTTTCACGTATAAGATTTTTGACATACTCTGCTTTATATAAATACAGAAATATGTCTGCTTATATCTGGGTACAGTTGGTACCCATGGAAATTCCAAACGAATGATGGAAGACCTAGTCTCCAATAACCACATAGATATTGTTTATCAGAAACTCAAGAATCTATTTGATGTCATCTTAAGAGTACTTGTATGCACTGTCAAATTTTTTTTATCAAAATGAACCAATGAAAAGGTGAGTAGATTTATGAGCTCCGTTTTTAATGAAAAAGCAGCTGTCAATGACATGAAAACATGAATTTTAATTTATCGCGAGGAATTGTTATGCATAGTGTTGAATAGTCCTGAGTTTTTAGCTGTTGATTTTGGTAAAATCTTGTGATTTCAAATTTTCCAAAAGTTCAGCTGAAATTTTAAATATCCACATCTGATTTTCACCACTTCTTGAAAATAATGTTGCACAGTACTCTTGAAGTTTCCCCTTTACTACTGTTAGTATCTTAGCAGCGTTTTTTTATGAAAACTATTTATGACCAGTGATATAAATAAAATTTAGATTCTTACAAAAGGTACGCGGGTGTTCCAAAAACAACCTCTAAAGAGTACAATTTTCATAGTCAAACATTAATCCTTTCTTAGTCCGCCATAAGAATAGAAATAAACTTTAAATAGGACTGTTGAAATTTTTGTTTTATTGACTTGTTTAACCTCTCAATCATTCATCTCGTTTGAGAAATTGTTAATGCGTAGAACGTGTTCGTATGTATCCAGTTAATTGAGAGATATATATACCCCGTATAACCCCGTATGTTAAAAAACTTTTTATCATTAAAAGAATGTAGTATATCCAAAAATGTGTTCAGTTTCCGAAATTTGTCTATTTTTATTGGAAAAGAATATATAAAATACAAAAAACAAAAAAAGGACAAACACGGATCAGAAAAGCTTTTCACACGACAATTTATCTTAAATGCCATTTAAAAACTTGACTTTTCAAATTCCGGTAAATGATTCATGATGGCACATGCTTTTCTCTCTAAATGTAGAATTATCTAAATATCAGGCAGTTTAACATGTTTGCAAATGTACTTTACAGTTAAGGACTTTATACATAAATGTTAATCCATTTGATTAAGAGTTTTACGATCGTCGTTGGTATACCTGGAAAGTATCAGTCAACGACAATTACAATTACAACTTATATAAATAGTTCTCATCTGTTGAAGTCATTGAAGAGGTTTTTAATACAAATCATTTATCACACAGTAGACATGGGCTTCGCTTTGAGGACACTCTTCATTTGAGGTTGTCTTCTCTGGGAACTTCAAAAATGTATATCCGTTTCGCAATATTTCATAATCTCCGTTGATATCCATTAGTTTATTTGGTTTTTCATAGTTAGTTTCTCTACTGCAAAAAACCGATATACAATTTACTACATGATACAAAATCATCCAAAGAAAGTGTACCTCCTGGTAAAGTAAATTCAAAGCATAATGTCAAACGTATAGGGAAAAATCTATAAAATCTTCAAAAATGTTATAGGAACACCCTAGATAAGTGATTTAAGTAAGTGAAAATCTGGGAGGTGGAGTTATCTGAGGCCACTTTTGAATACTGAACATTTTTTTCGAAGTTAAAGATCTCAGGAAAGCGAATTAGCTTCTCTTTGATTTTTTAGTGCAAGAATGCAGGTTGCTTAAAAAGTGTACAAAAACACGAAGGCATGTTTATCATATTTTATATATTATATCATACGTAAATTAGAACACCGGTCATAATGTCAAATCTCCATAAATGCTCATACAAACCTATTCTTGAAAACAATGATTATAAGTGTTGTTGCAATTATCATAAGTATAGTCATAACTACGCCTGTTACAATAATTGGCACCTGGGACTGTTTGCCTAAAATTTAAAAAAAATCTTTTTAAATGAATTGAATGAGCTGTAATAAACCAAATACTACTGCATGCTTTACATGTTTTAATGGAAAATAATTAATCTTGAATTTTTACCAATCCAGAACTGCAATAAGACAGAACTTGAGCAAAAGTCATAAACTAAATAAACAGAGTATATGGTTATTTCTATTTTTTTAATGTAGTATACAGTTACTTACTCTGAAATAAAGAAGGATCCTCTGATAAAACAGGATTATCAGTGCATGTCTCATTGTCATCTGGAAGTAATTTAGATTAAAGTGTTTTAATAACGTTTCGAATCATTATAAATAAAATCTGGCAGATTTCAAAAAAGATATAATTATACCCATGCAATATCGCTCCTCGCATTTATTCAGAGATCTCAAACAATACGCCATGTAACGTCCACAGTTTCTCACATATATGTGACTTCTCTCATGACAGCAAGATTGAGACATCCCAAATCCGGATGCAGAAACACAGATTGGTCTTTGAACAATACCTTCATTTACAGCTGGATGAATACCTTTCAATGAAAATATAGTTTTTTAAAGATAGATACCAGTATTATTATAATCAACATGATATTAATTTTCAGTTGTAACGTGTTCAACTTAGGTCCATCCCGACATCATGCTAAACGAAGTGGATAGTTAAAAGCTCCATAAGCTTTATAAGCACAGAAAAAAAATAGCTTTTTGCCAAGAAAGATTTTATAACTTTGATTTATAAGCTGTTCTTTCTATCCGTATGTCATATTGCTTATTTGAATTATCCAGGATGTAAATGTATTCATAGGCTTCAATGTAAAAAAATTAATACGCAACTAAAAAAAAGAAAATTTTAATGAAAAGGTAATTCCGCCAGGATCAAGATTGCCTGACAAAATGTTATGTAATCGGAAAACATTTAGTATTATTTGCTTAGATGAAAAGAATCTGTACCATCCATCCAAACAGGATATAGAGTGCCACAAGAAAGAACATTTGGACATCTATTAAGAAGAGTTGGTTCTCCTGCTTCTGCCTTATACCACCCTGGGAGCAAATCTCTGTCGCAAGATTGCATCAAATTCGAATATTTGCAATTTACGGCCCTGTTTTCAGCAAAGGGAATCTTAGGGAGGTCGTTCAATTTACATGGATCTATAATTAAAGAAAAATTAAAAAATAAAAAAAACCCTTGTTTTCTTTTAAATACTTATTATCAATAAATATGTCGTAATCAATTCCACGAAATATCAGATTTTTACGAGGAGTAATACATCAAACTCCTTATTATTATACATGTACTTACCAGATAAACAAATCTCAGCTAAGAGTCGATTCTGCAGGCTTTCTATGGATGGTTCTTTTGGTTTTTCTAAAGAACCATTCATCACTTTCTGTATTGTTTTTGTTACCGTCGATGGTGTGGCTGGTCGAGGAGAGCTATTGATTTGATCACAAGCAGCATCTCTCTCACCTAGATAAATTTATGGTTGTTTATTATTTGAATTCGTTTCAAAAAAGACAAATTCACTGTTATCCTTCCTAGAGTTCAAAATTACTTTTATATATTTTGAAAAAAAAATGAAACGTTTGTTTGAAAAAAATAATGTATAGATAAAAATATAAATTCTTTATTAGACAGTAAAGTTTGGTTTGTGAATCTTAAAGAAAAAAAATACTTAAAATAATATATCCATGACTCAAAAGCAATTTTTTTCTTGATTTTTTCTACAAAGGAATATTCTAGAATTACTTCAGACGTGGATCACACACTGGTCTTATCTTAGCGCTAAAACAAGGTATGACATAACCATGCCCGAATCTTTTAATAAATCTATGTATCGAAATGACCAATTTGGCCTTGGTGGTTTAGAGAATAAGATTTCCCTTTGTAACAACGTCATTTGAATTCTGTTAAAAACATCTTTTACCAAAGAATTCACGCAATATTTCCACAGGTTATTTCAAATAAATAAAGATTTCAGACTTGAATTAAAACACTATCTAATGAGGGGCATATCTACCAACAGACGGAAGAGACGGATGCATAAAACTTTGATCAGAGAAACTTGAATGAGCATTAGGACCAATCAAATAAGCAATTAAATAGTTTTTAAAAAAATAATTACCGAAGCAATATCTTTCGGAACACGCGCCTAAGGTAGGAAGACAGTAGGCGTTGAATGATCCACAGTGTCTTATACTGACAGTGACTTTTCTGATGCATTTCTCTCTGAAACCAACTTTGCATACGATTCTGTCAACCTCTTCGTTTTCCTTTGATGGAAGCGTTCCTAGAAATTGATATTACAAATGCAACAATTTGTCAAACCTATAGGCGAAAACATTTATCAACTATTTCTTTTAAAGAAAAATATTTCCCTAACATTTTATCAGTTCGAGACTTTAGGCAGAGGAAAGTTAAATAAAGCTCAAAACTTTGAAAATGCACCAAACTTACATTTTATTTGTCAAAACAGGAAATATTTTGGATGATATTTTGTTTTGACGAAATTTTTTTCAGAGGAACCACGCAATATAGTTACCGTTTTTATCAACATAATAAAAAAACTAAAAAGCTATACAACACCATAAATAAGATTTTATGTTGATATGACAAGAATTGCTCAACTATTTCAAGACTAAGATAAATATGTATGAAAGTCAAAGGATGTAACAATAACAAATTTTTAAGGGTTGAATTGCATGTGAAGAAACAATTAAGTCCGTAAAGAAACCCTTTTCTTTTTTTTTCTTTTTAAAAACTGGAGGACATCTTAACAAAATAATAAAATGAAATATCTGTGCAGTTTCCCCCATCCCCTATGCATATAGTGTACTTTTCACACTCAGGGTCTGGAATTTGTCTTTTCGAGAATATCTTATTGGTTACCATTGAGCCAATAGGGATATACAGCTCCACATTGAAATAAATCTGGTGGATGATTCAGCATGTCATCTTTAAACCTGTACCAGCCGGGGGTAATGAAGCGGTCACAATACGGAGTTTTATTAAACTGGCAGTTTTTGGCTCGTAGTTTAGGCTGGTAAGGTGTTGTTATGTTAGCAGCATGACAGGCATCTATAAAGAGAACATTCAAAGCAGTATATGCTTAATCATCAATGAATTTATCTTTATATAAAGAGAGGATATTCAATGCTTTGTAGTTGAATATGAGATTTATTTCACAAGTGGGACAGGATTTTCATATATTCCCACCAATGCGAAGTAAATCCCAAGTTTCAAATACAAAACATTGAATTTTCTGTTTATTACAATTTCTTTGATTTCCTCTTTGCCTATGTCTTTTTGCAAATCAGTCAAAAGCTATATGACGTCAAAGTTGAGCGGTGAAGACGTCATAGCTAAGTGATGTGAGATTGAAAACATTTAAAACATGAATTTCAACAACATATTTGAGGAACTTTTGCAGTCTTGAACTCAGTCAGAATGGTTTATTAACTCGTTCTCTATCTTATAAGCTATGGGATATTTTTTAACACTTTTCGTTATGGAAAGGGAAATCGAGAATTTTCCCGCTCTTCTTATATTTGTCAAACCGTGAAAGGCTATCATTTTGATATCCTTTCACAGTATGACAGAATATCATTTTTATTCAATAAATAAATTGCAGTATTTCTCTGTTAAAATGTTATAAAATGGATTGGTTTTAGTACACTATGTACATATATTTTTGCATTTTTGTGAAGAAACATTTCAATGGCTTATGTAATGTTACCACACTCGATCAATCCAGAAATTTAATGCCCGCCTTTACTTAGTTTAGCTTTTTCTTGTATTATTACATTTTCGGTAGTTTGCACGAGGTTGTTGCACAAGCATTTTTTCTTTAAATAAACTTCTAGTTATAGACAGCAGCAACCATAAACACTTTTATCATAGAAAATTGACTGAATATTAGGTTATTTTGTAAATATTTTTCTTTTTAAACTATTTATTGTACATATGATCGGTATTTTTGTTTATATTTTAACTTGCATTGATTAAAAATCCTCAAAGCTGCTATAAAGTCAGTTTAATGTTAAATTTGGCAAAATATTCTGTGATATTTGAACAAGACAAGTTAATAATTTGTTGTTTATGGTGCTTAAAAAATTACAGTAGAATCTAAAATCTAGGATTTGAATGTGTGAATTAATTTGGTAATGTTTACTTGTGAATCCATATTAGTTTCTTGGATTTTTTTTTATTATTACCAGAAGTTGTTAATCAACAAGACTTATTTTGTATTTTTATGTTTTGTAGATTTCACAGAATGCCTCATAGAAAGAACCATGAAATATGTCTGTTCCAGACTTGGATCTAGGATAAAACTAATTTTAAATGAGCCTTGAGGCATTTTGTTAACTGGAACAAAACAGCTGTTTAAAAGAAAACAATGGTTTTCCGTTTTTCTTTTAAATGTAATCAAAATTGTTTTGACAACTATACAATACTATCCATAACGGAAGAATAAAATTTATTTTAATCAGCAAATAACATTTGTTTTTCTTCTTTAATCGTAAGAAGGAGTTGTAGTTTACTTACCATCTGTTTTGCAAAACCACATCCTACTCGCTTCTGAAAAATATTGACAATTTTTATAAACTAAATCAAATACATTTACATTGATGTGTTTGTTTTTTTAAAAATAAATGCAATTAACTGCATTTTAATATGGAAATCATAAAAGTAACGTTGTTCTAAATGTTAATGATTTAAATGGATATAATTTTAATTTTAATCTTTTAAAATCAATGTTGTTATTATCTGTTGTTATTAAAATATTTTAATGGTATTAAATACTGAACACATGAATTATCTTAATCTTTTATTATTAGTAAAGAATAATATATTGTAATTTGACAAAAAAAGAACAATTTATTTGGAATCATGAAGGGTCAATGCAATTTTTTTATGCATGCGGTGTCTGAACAATATAACATATCATGTTTTATCTGAATGTACATAAAAAAAACTTATATAAAGACACATAAAGAAAAAGCAGAAGTAAGCTGAGTACATTTGTAAATATTAATTTTGATAAACAAACACATATTCTGAACCTTCTGAAGTGACGTTTGTATTTTTTGAAACTCTCACGTTTACCCTTGTTTTGGCTCTTTAATCCTCTTATGTATATTGTTTTTATCATTATTTTAGATAACGTTACAAAGTGATGCACTTTTCACTGTGCTAATTCTTCCAATGGTCAATTATGGGGTTTTTTTCAGTGGTGAATTTCAACGATTTATCACAGTTTTATATTAAAGGAAATATAATTGGGAAAAAAAAACAATTGTATGTTTTTTTACTCATGACTATTGCAAATATCGAATTCTAAAATTATTGAGAAATATATGTTTAACATTAGGAAAAATTCAATTTTTTCTGCTTTGACTACTGAAAATGATTGGAATTTTATTTATCAAATCATATGACATTATAATAAAACTGGAGCATTAATTAAAAATATTGGGGGTGGGGAGGATTTATCTCATTCTTTGTTAAAACTTTTTTTCCTACAATTAAAGAGATACTGTATAAGTGGAAATTTAATTGAGACGCAAATTTAGCGATTTGTCCTAACTTGTATTTAATTTCTAGCGAGTTGTAATTTTTAGCAATTTCAAAATACTCACTTAAGAAATTATTATAAGTAAATTGCAAGTAATTTTTCAAAATTTAGCGGTCTTAGTTCCTACACTATTAATGCCAAAATTAAATCCTTGCTAAAACACTGCTATATGATTTCATTGAGATTTAAATTATACAATTGTCAAGACAGAGAAGAAGTCCACTTTGAAGTTTTTTTTCTGATTATTAAATGGATGAACTTCCAGGAGGGATACCTGCAATAAACCAGTGAGAGGGGATCAAGATATCTGCCATGTCCCTATTAAATAAACTTGGACCAAAACGTACCATAATGTCTAAAACGTACTATAATGTCCTGAAAGTTTTTTACTTTTCCTTTTGGAGGGGGAAATGGAGAGAAGTTAATAATTTTTTTTAAAAGCATAAACTTTATTTTAAAAAACACTCACTCAAAAGAAAACCAATAACTTTGAGTATTGGGTATATATATATTTGATAAGAAGTTATCTTGTATAGTTCTCTTGTATGATACGCGTGATAATGTTTTGAAAATGTATTATACATATTGTTAAATGTATATAAGAAACAAAAATTTAATTTCACCTGTCACATCAATAGACAGCAAGCAAATCATAACAACAATCTTTACTGTCAGGGATTGTGACTTCATCTTCAAAAGTAAAGGAAAAAAGAAAACACCATAAAAAACTTTTTGTATATATTCATCTTTATGCAAAAAAAAACGTAAATTCCATAATAAAACAATTGAAGTGTCGAAGCTACAGTATAGTGGTTTAATGAAACAAAAGAAAGACAAAAATCCACATGCTAATATAGAAAGTATTTATCATGTGCAATCCTACACTTATGTATTTACGTTTTGACTTTTTGTTAATGTATATTGATATTGATGTTCTTGCAAAACTAAAAGAAAACTTTAAAAGTATAAGAGTTTTACGTTACCTTTGTTAGCAAAAACAGATGTCAAAATCCTAGTGTGGCTGCCATCTAAGTGTTTTCTTCTCTTCCCATCAGGAAGGAAATGTATGGCGGCGATATGCTTTAAAACTAGGGCAATTCAGCGTAAACAAATCACTTGCCTACTCCTGTTTTTTTGTTTGAGATACTTGTTGCTGTTTAGTGTAATATCATGTTCATGAAGAATAATCACAATTTGCACAATTATTTAAAGAGTGTGTTAATTGGGATAATATATACATGTACTTGTTCATATCTTGTAGTGAGAGGTTATTGCATTATGGTATCATTGTGTGTTTTGCGGTTGTAGCTTAATATTTTTAACATCCGGTTTTAAAATAACATTGTGGTGATTGACGTAGATTTCATCAGATGCATAAAATAACATTTGTTTGTAATGCGATACATTATCACAATGTAGATTTATCATGCATTATTAATTTTTGTTTTATCTATTTTTACCATATTAAGTTTTAAATTATAAAATCAATTTATTTATTCGTCCTAGCCTTCACAGTTGATGCTTCAAGTATAACCTAAGAAATCATAGAAAAATAATATGTTGCAATTATTATATGTCAGATAACGGCATAGAAAAAACACTAAATCTAAGAAAAAATATACCTGTGCTATGCTTTTCTGTTTATATGTTATACATGTATATTGATACAGAAGGTTTTTTGTCTTACGTAACGAAGTGAATTGAATTTAATTCATCGTATTTAGTTTTTTAGTACAAAATACATAGATAAGTTTACTAATACTGAATATTTTTAAAAAGTTTACAGTCACTATTTTGGGAATTTTGTTCTCTTTCACTTGAAGAGTTAAAGCTGAAGCATAACAAATTTATACAAAACTAAAAAATATATATATGTTCTTTTGTTTTAGTGTAGATGTATGCATGATAAATTTATTTTTCGATAGATAATTGTTTTAATTCATTTTAACGATAAATGTATTTTGACATTCTTGCTTGATTGCTTTTTGCTCAGAATTTAGGGAAAATAATTTCAATATTTAGGTGTCAAAAATTGTGGGAAAAACTTAACATCATAAAATTTTGTGAAATCAATTTTTTCAATGAAAGGTTCATACATCATTACTTTCTTTGAGTCCTTTCCCTGTACATAGATATCCATGAAATATTTTCAACAATTGTATACAACCAACGCTCTGCAGCTAGCTGGCTTCAAAATTAGAAGTTAAAACTTTTGAACACTAAAGCAAATGCTCATAGAACTGGACACTGACAATTAAAGTTGTTGCACGACTTTATAAAGATCTGTCTCTAAATCTACTGTAATTTACAATGTATTCCGTACAAGAAGTGAAATTTTCTCCTGGGAAAAATCGTGTTATTATTTCTGATTGTCAACTTTTGCAGAAGAATCACCGACTTTTATCAGGTAGCAGGGGACTCTAAACGTCTTACCTGCGATAAATTACTTTTTTCCTGATAGTTTTGAGAAGCAGTGTGCGTTAGAGATAAATACTGATTTCTTTTAAAACATTTCGCTTAAAGGGCGTTTTTTCGTGAAGTTAGATATGTTTTACTGCATATCAAACTCTATTTCATATAACTCTAGAAACAAACGTACATGTTATGAAAACTGTTATTTAAGATGGTTATCAAAGCAGGTATAATAACATGGTAATTGTATTTGAAAAAAAGTGAACTGAGTGTTTTCTGCTATTATCCGCAAATTCCTGCGACTCAACGGGCTGATGACCGCAAATTCTTGCTTATGATCTTGTAAACTTATGTAATCATTTAGTTAAGAAAATCTAATCAATATTTTTTTCAATTTGTGTGAGAGGCTCATTTCGAGGTAGGGGTGTACAATGTAAGTTATACTTAAGATTTACTTAAGATTAACCAAGTTAGAATTAATTACATTTAGATTTATATTTCGGAGAAATTTAAATTATAAAATGAACAGATCGAATAACTAATGCAAATCATAGAAATGTCTGTGAAACTTAGCTTTAGTGTTCATATTTAAAGAAAAAGACAATGTAATGTTAGTGTTATCCAAAATTTTACTGTAATTAGAATACTTTGTTATTATATTTGAATGTTCATTGCTCTTCAAAGCACATGTGTATCTATGGAATCCAGAGAGGTTCATGTACTTCACTATCACAACACATTGCTTGTAGGTTATAGGTCTATTACGCAATGAATTTAGAGTAATGTTGAGATAATCTTCACGCGATGCAACGATAACTACGGAAACCCAATTGTACAAACCAAAAAAATTACAATTTTAAAAGAATTGTTTTCAATAAAAAAAAAAAAAACACAGAAAATATTACATACCAAGTAGAATAAATAAAATAAAAAAAGAAACATTGAATAAAAATCAAACAGACGAAATATTAAAAGAAAACGAAAACAAATATTTTAAAAAGACAATACAAAATAAAAATATTAATCTAATATTAAGTAAGAAACTAAAATACAAAAAAAAATTATACAAAAAAACCAAAATTACTAAATAAGAAACGAAATTACAAAAAATAAGATTCCCTTCAGCCACAACGCTCACCTGAGTAATTTGGCCCTGCAGTTCTTTACAAAACTAATTCGCCTTTCCGCTGTAATAGCTATTATGACAATAACTTCACATGGGGTTTCACTTTTGAACGTTTTTGAATTTACACTACACCAGAATGCTACCACCTAAGCTTCAGCTCTTGCTGCCAAATAAATCCTTGAGGGGATTTTAAAATATATTTCATGTAAACTTGGATTCCCTATGTAGCTTCACTTTCCCCTCTGGTCTTGATTTTTACAATTTAGAATCTACACAACACCGGTATGCTTTCACATAGACACATAAGGATAGAATCTGTTCTTATATTCAATGTAAAAATTTGATTCCCTCTTGTTGCCAATCATTACTTTCGGAGGTCATGGATTAAAGGATTTAGAAACAACTGACTCCAGCATAATGCTTCCACATTAAATCAATTATTTTTAACACAGTATTCTTGAGGAGAAGATTTTTTTGGTAAAGATATTTTATGTATACAGTGAAACCTGATTAATCCGACACGTAAAGGAGGACGAAGTTCGTGTCGGAATAAACTGGATTTTGGATTTCACAGTGTTTAACATAGGATAGTTGAATAGGAAGGAATATAAGTCAGAATTCACAGTGTCATGGATTGCATATATGTCGGATTTAAGAGTTTTCACTGTATTAAATGTAAAGATTGGATCCCCTATTGTTGCCTCAACTTAACCCCCAAGGTCTTGCTTTTAACAATTTAGAATCTACTCTACCCCACAAAACTTCCACAATAAATTCAGCCGTTCAGGCCCAGAGGTTCTTGACAAAATGATTTTTAGAGATTTTTCCTACATTTGTATATGGCTCAGTGTAAAACTTGGGTTCCCTATTGTGGTCCAATCCTTTCTTCGGGGTCATGATTATACAAATTAGAACTTATGCTACCATTGTTACAACGCACTTTGAAAAAAAAATTCTTTTCAAACTGCGTTAATATCGACCACATTAACGCACTTTGAAAAAAAAATGTGTATGCTGGGTATTCTTGTAAATCTTAGGTATAATAAATAATTTAACCTGTTGGTAACTTTTCAGTGATAAGGTCTCTTTAGAATTTGAAAGTGAGTGATTTTGATTTTTCCATACTTTGAAAATTCTTACTTTCTTAAATGTTGTACTGTACTTAATTTTTTCCTGTTTGCATTTTATGTAAAACTAAATTTTATTGAAAATTTTCAACGTCATATCAGTTATGCAAATACATATATTTGTAGCATAGGCATCGGAACCGGGAGGGGGGGCATAGGCACACAAATATTTTGAAAAGATATACATGTACATAATATAGGCACTGGAAATTAGGGCTTAGCTTGGGGGGGGGGCACGTTCAATTTGCTAAAGACGGCTATGTATGAGAAAAAAAAAGTTGGGCTGAAAGTCTTTCTACTCGTCTTTTTGTTCTCAATGAGGTTAAATCATTAAAATAAATTAAAAAGTTTTGCAAAAGATAATTGTTACAAATTGATTCTCCGATTACTAAAATCTAAGTCTAGAGTTTTTGTTTTAAAAATATTTTTCAAAATGCGTTAAATTACCCCATGGTAAAAATGTTGATGTACACTCTTAACGCAATTTGAAAATTTTTTTCAATGTGCGTTGAGTATGTCCCAAATTTAACGCACTTTTAAAGTGCGTTAATTTTGTCCCAGTTTTAAAGCACTTTGAAAAAATTTTTCAAAGTGCGTAATTTTTTCAAAGTGCGTTGCCACATACCATAGATTGCTTCAGTATAAGCATAGTTTTACTTGGATATCCAATTGTGGATCTACACCACCGACAGAGGTCATGATTTTTTTTTTTCAATTTAGAATCAACGCCTCCCAAGGATGCTTCGTAACGTTTCAGTTTTCTCACTGGTCCATTGGTTCTTGGGGATTTTAAGAGTCCCTCATGTTACCTACTCCTATCGGTGTTTTTTCGCCAATCGTTGTGTGGCGACCGCTGTCCGCCGTGTCATGCGCCGTGTGTTTACATTTGAAAATTCAAACGTCTTCCTTAAGACCGCACGATCAAATTTGTCCAATTTTAGCGTATGGCATCTTTGAGTGAAGGAGACAAAGATGTGACTTCCATGGTCCCTGTTCTACTGGCCAAAATTGTGGGGCTCAATTCAAATCATCAAAGTTAATGGATTTAAAAAAAAAATCTTTTTTTACTCCTTGACCTCAAGCAGTCAAACTGTTGGCATTTATGGGAATTTTATGCAAAATTCCATGGCACTTGGGTCATGGGATTCTTGCGCTAGGGAGGGGCTGTAAGTGATAAATAGTGAACATCTCATTATACGTCAAATTTCTTCCCCTCTACTCCTGGGAATTTGCAGATGAACTAAGCATTTAAGTATGAGGAAGAGTGCCTCTTCCAGAATTGTGAATTTCATGGCCCCTGTGTCATTTGATCAGATGTACGGGTGTGGATCTAATTATCATATAGTGAAAATGTATTGATGCATTAGAATTATTCTCCTCTGCTCCTGGGTATTTAGATAATGAATTTGATATATAATATTGAGAAGCAAAAGTACTTCATTCAAAGTCGTAAATATCATTGCCACTGGTATTTTAATTGCCATTGGTATTATGCCGAAGACTTCATTGGATAGTTATGATTAACAAAGGCTCCTTTTTTGAGTATTTTGAATTTCAAGACTCCTTGGTCATGGGTTCTCATGTTAGGACGGGGCTCTAATGGTATATAGTGAAATCAGGGACCTATATACTAACGGGATAAGCAACTACCGCAAGTCTCGCGATATCTCCTAAGTCGCGGGATTTCGTGTCAACTTTAATTAATTATATCTCTAAAGCTATCGCATAATTGAGATCAAATCCTTTAATTATCTGTCAAAAAATCATTCAAGATTTGTTGTTAGCACGTATTATACTCCTTATCTTAGTAGTAATTTTGTTTTATGCAAAATCAGCACATGCCCCGATCGGCCATATTTCCGAGAAATCGCCGATTTCGGTGTTTGTTTTCTTTATATTTAAATTATATTATTATTATGCTTTAAAATTTATTAATAAATCAATTCCAATACAGAAAAGGAATAAATGATAATAATCAGAAAATATCCTGTTTACTGGGAATAAACGTAAATTGAAAAACTTGTAGTGTCGTGCGTGATGATTTGGGTAAATAAACATGGCGATGAAGGAGTTGCCTATCCCGTTAGTATACAGGTCCCTGGTGAAATGCATTAATAATTTTAATTTACTTTCGCTGTTTACTGTGTAATTGATTTGAATGTCATTTTCGCGTGTAGAAATATACACTGAGAAACACGTCGCATTGAGGCTACATCGACATTAGTAAAGATGCGAGGATAAATGACAGCGAGAAATGTACACATATAAGGTATATTTTTGGTGCTTAAAAACATGTTGTAAGATGTCAGATGTAAATATAAGGAATGTTTTATGTTAATTGTGAATTGCTGTGGTGTTCATGACACAGACTTGAACGTGACCGCCTAGCGCGCTTCATGAATTTGCCTGTCTGACAAGTCTGTGTGATTCCACACAAGACTTAAAACATTCTGATGGAAATATTCTCCACCGCTCTTGGGTACTTTGCTGTTGATCTAAGAATATAGCTATATATATGATGAGGAAAATGTGCCTTTTCATAAATTGTGAATTTTATAGTCACTTAGGCAAGAGTCACGGTGTTTTTTTTTTTTTGGAGGGGGGAGGGTGGTCTCTAATGATTTCATACTGAAAATAAATTTATGTTAAATCTTTTCATTAGTATTAATCAAATATTTATGTTGTTAAAAGTGTGGCCCCAGGTGTGTGGGGCACTAGTGGTTATATAGTGAAAAAGCATTTCTTTTTTTTTTGTTCCTCAGCTCTGCCTCTGAAGTTGATTATCAAAGAAAGCATTTTAAGTGAATAGTTATACTGAAATTGAATTTATGTTGAATCTGTTCATTAGTATTAATCAAAAATTTATGTTGTTAAAATTGTGGCCCCAGATGTGTGGGGCACTACTGGTTATATAGTGAAAATGCATTTTTTTTCCTCAGCTCTGCCTCTGAAGTTGATCATCAAAGAAAGCATTTTAAGTGAATAGTTATGATAAGAAAAGGAGCCTCTTTCAAAACGGTAAAATCAGGGCCTCTGGTTCAAAACACAATCCAACTTCAATTGTCGAAAAATTTGGAAAATCGATGCATGAAACTCCGGTGCCCCAAGAGGCCAGTGGGTCCCTTGTTAAATTACTACACCCTATTTTTTTCTTTTCTTGTTGAGGGAAGACGTTTGGATCTCTATTTTAGCAATATAGTCTTTCCTTCAATCATGGATGCTTTGTAGCGATTTTAAACTTGGTCCAATGGCTCTTTAGAGAAGTTAAAAATGCGAAAAAAATTCAGATAGACGGATGGACGGAGAGACAGAAGGACAGCTAGACAGGCGGACAGACGAAAGACAATGGTTGATCAGAATAGCTCACTTGAGCTCTTAGTTCAATTGAGATAAAAACTGAAACTAAAATTCGGGTTCGAGATGTGTATGGCAAGGGCTTGAACTCATTAATAATCACATTAAGCATATGTATTGTAAATCTAAATTAATTCTATGGTGTTTGATATGAAAAACAAAGAAGATTTTCACATATATCCTGTTTACTTTTTTTCTCCTGAGCAGTAACAAAATAGTTGAGCTTGTCACAATTACTCAAAACTCTCAAAATTCAAGCATGGAGTAATGAAATATTTCAACTAAAACCGAAACACACAACAATTGTACGATTATCACGTTTATTACCAATCGTGCCTGTACGTTCTTTAATAATTTGATTGCTTTTTTAAGGCTTTATTGTATTACATATTAAGTATTAGCGATTTTTAATAAGCCTTTGTTTGGATTTATTTGCGCTCTGCAAATACATTATTGCTTTATAAAATCATCAACTAAAAAGTACCGTACATCTGTGTATCGTTATTTGCCCATACAGTTAACTTTTTCGAGTTTATATATTTCTTTAAATAGAGTCAAGCATATTAAGAAAAAAAGGAAAATATTTTAATCTTCCTGATGAGAACATAAGGAAAAATTCATTTCATCTTAAGCAAAAATACTTAGAAAATAATTGCTTCTAAAGTGGCCCGACCTCACCAACTTAAAGAAATTTATCAGTGCTATATTTGATTGTAAACTTATAAACATCATAAAAGGAAGGGTTTGGCAATATTTTATCTGTTCTTCTTACTTGGCGAATGCGGTAAATATGATCTTTGTTATTTCATTAGTTATTTTCTTTATGTAATTAATAAATGCATACATATAATTTGAATTTAAAAGCAGTAAAAACGTTTCTCTTAACTTCTTAGGTTTTGTAGCAGTGGATTTTGGTTTGGTTTGCTTTTGTTTGTTTGATATTCCTTTGAGACGCAACCAATTCAAGGCGAGCGGGTGGTCGGTGTGTACGAAGTCTGAAATATGAAAAAGAACCTTTTAATACTTCGACAATTCGTAGAATTTTAGTATCTTTAACAACTTATTTACCTATAAAGGTAGATATACCAAATTTAAATCTCCAACTGAGTTGTCCTCAGAGGCAGATATTCCTATTTAAGGCATTCAAAATCTTTATTGTAAAAAGTGTATAAATAATAAATTTTGTTTTTAGTTGTTTCCAGCCTAAAACATTTACTTGTTGTTACAGGCTGCGCTTATCAAAAGATGAAAACTGTGATTCTGCAGATTTTTGTTGCTATATGGCATATCATTCAAACTTGTAAGTGAAAGTTTATTGTCTTGATTCAGTTACTGTTTCTTAAATACGAATAAAAACACTTTCAGTTAAGCATTCAGGTGTAATGTATTTTATTAATTTACAATTTTTTTTGTAATTGAGCATGCTTTTTTAACATAAGTACATATGTTAATGTAAATATAGAAGAAATAACTTCGGATCTTTTTGAGGTGTTAAATTAATGTGGAACGTTATTTAATTCAACATATAGATGAAGAAGATCCATGTACTTCTTACACTGACATCTCGGACCTATTGAAAAGAATTCCATCCTACAAACAGGATGTGATGCCTCTCTGTGACAATCACCTGACTACAGGATGGTACAGGGCAGGATACCTTAAAATGCCAACATCTCCACCTTCTCTGGGATCTTGTGGGACAAATTACCCTTACTGGTTAAATGGTAGGACTGTGAAAATGTTTTATTTTAAAGAACATTTAAGTGATCTGCCTAGCTTGGATTTCATATTTTTTACGTATATGTTCGATAGTGAACGAAAAAACTTGAGTAGCCAAGTAAGGAGTTGATCCTTGCGTCGCGGGTTCGAATCCTAATGTTGGAGACGGAGAGCAGTCCTCCGTATAAATTGAGGTCATGTGTTGATTGATTGATTGATTGTATGTTGTTTAACGCCCCTCTTGAGAATTTTTCACTCATATGGAGACGCCACCACTTGCCGGTTGAGGGCTACAAATTTTGTCCTATGCTCGACACTTAGGGCCTTTGAGCAGTGAGGGATCTTTTTCGTGCCAGCACCTACTGCGACACGGGGCCTCGGTTTATACGGTCTCATCCGAAGGACCGGTATCCACGTCCCACAGTGGGATTCGAACCCGCGACGTAAGGATTGACTCCTTACTTCGCGACTCTAGAGCAAACGCTCTACCCACTGCGCCAAACGGGCGACAGTCATGTGTTGAAGTTAAGGTACTGGTGCAATAAAGACCCTGACTGTTCAATGGCCCTTGGTGTCGAGTATTACATGTAGTACAGGACAAAAATTTGCAGTTCTTTTACCGGCAAGTGGTGGCGTCTCCATATGAGTGAAAAAATCTCGAGAGGGACGTTAAACAATATACAATTAATCAATAATTTGTATGTGAGGGAGTGTGTATGAAAGTGACAGACCGTGCATGTTGTTTATGCTTTCCAGTTCCACTTACCCGGTATATTTCTTCTTCTTCAAAAAGAAACTTTTATATTCTAAAAGGCTTTGTTATATATCTATTTATATAGGTGATCATCCACCGACAAATCTAATGAAAAATGTTAAAGTTTGCAAGGTTGGAACTACAAACCAATGCTCACAAGAAATCGAATTAAGCGTGAAAAACTGCAGTTCCTACATGGTATATCATCTACCCAAGGTCAATTGCTGTAACTCTGCTTATTGCTTTGGTAAGTTTAATATTTTTCTTTACAATTATAAACCAGTAATATAATAATACATGTAAATGTAAGAAACCTTCTAGTATTCTTCTCAATGAATAGTAAGGAGATAATATTTTAAGCATTTTATTGATTGATTGATTGATTGATTGATTGTTTATTGTTTAACGTCCCTCTCGAGAATTTTTCACTCATAAGGAGACGTCACCGTATGCCGGTGAAGGGCTTCAAATTTTGACCTTTACTCGGCACTCAGGGCCATTGAGCAGTGAGGGATCTTTAACGTGCCAACGCCTACAGTGACACGGGGATTCGGTTTTTCAACTCTCATCCAAAGGACCCGAAACTTTCACTTCAAAGTGCCGAGCGCATGGCGAAGGAACAGTTGCTACCCATTTTAACGACTAGGTCAGTCGCAGCCGAGATACGAACTCACGACCTCCCGATCACGGAGTGAGCGCTCTGCCGACTGAGCTACCGTGAACGGTACATTTATTGAAAATGTATCCTAATATATAGTTAACGCTCACCTATATTTCTTGATTGCGAACTTACTTCTGTGTATTACGGTATTGACTCCTAGAGAATAATGCTCGCAGATATCAGTGCCAAAATCCTGTCAAGACAATTCTTTTATTGCTCGAGTTGTGAGAAACTTTTTTAAAAATAAATAATTACTAGACTGGCTTGGATGAATGATAATTTTTTTGATGATCTAAACCCACATACGATTAATTTACTGTAGAAAGAAGAGAAAAATATTGCAAAAGTTATAATACGGTATCATCTACATTTTTCATACTGAGCACAATTAAAACGACTCGGATAAAATTTGAATTTACCATTTATTTTCCAAGTAGTGGAAGCGTTAATATATATGTACGTGTATATGTATATGTACAAAATTTTCCTGTCGATTGGTTTCAATGGAGATTATTGTTATAGAGTAAACTTCACATCGGTTTTTGCTGTAAATACTAGTTTCGAAATAAATTTGAGGGCGGGGGCAACTACATAATTGTTAAAATTCTGTGGGGGGATTTGCTTTGCTAAAGGTTAACTTTTTAATACCGTTTCTACTTTGTAACTTGCTTTGTAGAATCTGACCAAAAATGTGAGTACAAAATTAGATTTAGATTTGAAAATGAAAAAAATTAAATCTTAATTGATCTTTTTAAAAGAACGATTCTTGTAGAAAATAGATCTTGGTCATTTAAAAAATAAGTCTTAAGTAACATTAAAATAAACGGAGTGGAGTAAAAATTTTATACAGCTGTATCTTTCTAGTAAACGTAAATATACATATTCCTTGCAGATTCACTGTGTAACATTAATGCTATTCTATTTAGGCACTCTAGATGGTCCAAAGGACCCAACTGTTTCCTATCACAATCTATCATGGGATCGCGAAGATCGGGGTGTTGTTAGTAGATATGACCCTAGTGTAAATTTGATATGTAAATTTACGCCCTTAAAAAACGATTCGTTGTTTTACGACATCTCATGGTATGTAGACGACCTAGAAGTTGTTAAAGGCCAAACTGTTACCTCCCATACTCTAGACCGTGCACTGTTGTCTGCTTTCGACATCTTAAAGAAAAACAAAACAGCGGGATCTATGGTAAGAAGGAAAGATACACCTATTTCTGTAACAGTTCTCCAGAAGTTATTTGTTGTTGTTATCCAACTCTTGATGCATAATAATTGTCTGCAAATGAATCTGATTTTACTTTTTGTAGATTCACTGTGTTGTCGGAATTAAATCAGCTAAGGAGGGTTCTCCATGTGCCTCGAAAGCAAGCCCACTATTTTTTGCTGGCATTAAGGTAGGATTCTTCTCTGGTTTCTGACTAGATGGAATATTCAATATGAAAGTACATTTGTTGATTTGTCTTATATATTAAGTTGTACGAGATTTAAAAGACCATATTTTTCTTGCCTCTTCACAATTATACAACTTTAAATAGAAATGGTTAATTGCGTTTAAAAACTAGCAGGGACTAGTTTTTGGGCGGAATGGTGGCGTATGAAAATATCTTCTTTTCTGCTTCTCAGAATTATTATAGAACAGTGAATTTAGTTATAATTTTTAGGCAATCAAAGACCAGACGAAATTTTCAAATGTAAGTCAAATTAATAATGAGGGACTAAAGTTTTAAAGTATATCAAATAAATAAGATTTTTCACACATACTAGAACTATGTTGGCTTTTAGATGCTTCAAATCTAAGTACAGATTTGAGCAAAAAATCCGTTAAAAGTGTTATTTCTATTTTAGTAAATGATCAAAACTTTAAGTTTTTGTATCATTTTGTACCTTTATGTGACAACTTTACTATATGTGAAAACTGGAAAAAGTTAAATATAGGAAGCATATAAAAATTACTGATAAATCCTAAAAATTTAAGAAAAGTAGAGGAAATTCGGATTAGCAAATATCCATTTTATTCAAATTATCCATTTCAATTTGGTAATATCATCTTATAGGCCCTATATGGTAGTACCTTTTTATGCAAAAAGAAAAACATTGAAATCTTTTGAATTACAAGTAGGGATCGCATGATTAGAAACAGTATTTTTTTATTCTTAATGTCCAGGGACCTGACCTTGCCTGTAATATTAAACGGTCAATTTTTTTCTCACTGATACCATCACTTAGTGATATTGTCCTATTGATTCTGTGAAAATTTTATCAATTTTTAAATACAAGAAATGTGGGAAGAATCCTACCTTAAAGTGGGTATGTTTTAGATGTCAAATAAGTTTAATTTGTACCACAATTCTTTTACATAACTCAGAATGCAACAATAAGGCAACATTTACAATATATGATAAATGAATTCTGGTATGATAAATGTGACAAAAGGTCGGCATGGGATGCTCACTCCTCCATGGAACCTGATCCAACCTTTGATGTCCTTGATTGCTCTAATCATGATTTGTATTGTTTAAATGGACTTATGAGCTTGAATACTGGTTAACACAGTATGTTTGACTTCAGTTATCTTCACACTGGCTTATAAAATGATATATTTTTTTATAGAATACATTTCGTTTCATGACTTACTTTTGTTCTCTGTGGTAGATCGATAAAAGACTTAAACGTGTAGTGCATGTAGGTGTACTCTTCACAATCGGTTGACGGAACTTTTCAAAAATTCATATTCTGTTTCAAGGAAAGTGTTGGTACAGCGAAGATAACAATTTTTTTTCAATTGAAAGAGAAATGTTTCATACAGATAATTGAAGTTGAAATAGAAATGAAATAAATAGAAATACGCATAACTTATAAATATAAGATATGTGAATTTTTTTTTTGGGGGGGGGGGGTCAGCATAGCAGCGTATGAAACATTTCTTTCTTCACATCCCCAAATAATTTAGATAGAAGGCTGTGTAAGTCCCTTTGCCTCCATCTATACTGTCGCCCGTGTGGGAAGTGGATACCGGTTCTTCAGATGAGACCTATAAACCGAGGTCCTGTGTCACAGTAGGTGATGGCAGGAAAAAGATTCCTCACTGTTCAATGGCCCTGAGTGCCTAGTGTAGGACAAAATATATTTTTACATTGCATCCATGGCTTTTCAATGTTACTATAAGTCCTTGGCTTTGTCGTTATGATTAGCTTTTATTTTCGAATAACTAAAAAAATAGAAAAGTACCCCGACAGACCTTTAATTTCCTTGACTGTGGCGAATTTTCATCAAATTAACTAGATGCAACGATTCAAGTTTAAATAAGTTAAAAGCGTATACTCACTTAACGACGTTTGATGCTTATATATTATATATTTACGCAGGTATTGACTCCCCAGCTTTACATTAAGAAAGGAAATAGCGCTGATTTGAAGCTGCAGTTAACTATACCATATGCAGATGAAACTATCATGATATCCGGTTATGCCACTAGAGCGCCTCAACTGATTGTGACTGCAAAAATTTCTAAATATACTTTACTTGAATGTGACAGGGAGTATATATCATTTAAGCGTGATGATTACATGATTTGTGAAGTCTGGATTAAATCATACACCTATACGGAACGAGATAGTTATGAAACAGACGATTGGAAACGGATATATAGTATGTCCATACACAATCACGGCTACAGAGACAGAGTAGTGTCATTGCAATTGAGAACTAGGCAGACCCTAGGTCCAGGAAGCAGAATATTCAGCAATATAAAATTACAAGAAATACAGGTAATTAATACATGATCTAGCAACATATCTGTTGGTCGATATGCACTGCCGTTAATTATTTTTATCTACAAGTTGATTCATTTTGGCGTATATTTTTTATAAATAAAAGCGACAAAAAAGAGCAAAACATTATTTTCAATGATACATGTCAATAAACTTTTTGTTGTGATATCACTCATTTTATATGGAGCAAAATGAGTGGTACTCCGTTTTCCTACAGACTACTGTAGACATCTTTAATTTCACGTGTCTAAAATTTCACGGTTTGTAAGAGTTACCTAACAGGACGATGATTTAATTTCACAGTGAATCATATATTAATTTTCACGTCATATGCCTGTTTTTTCGCCAGTAATGAAGTTAAAATAAAAATAATTATCACGATGGTTAATTATTCGCGGAAAATTCTTAAATCGTGAACATAGTGAAATTTAAAATACTTCTACAGTATTATGACGACTATTTGAGATTTGTTGGCACATGAAAAGCGTTAGGTTTTCACAAGATCTAAGTATTTTCTGGACATCGTTTGCTGTTTTAAGAAGGATTTTTTTTTTCGTGTTTTGTCTTACTGTATGATGACTTTGACACTTTGATTTACTAAAGTTTACAATGGTTAACTATAGTTAACTAGAGTGAACTATAGTTAACTATACTATTTTTTGTCAGGGCAACAGGGCAATAAAAATAACTTTTCATTTCATTTTAATAAATTACTTTATTTCATTGCATTAAAATTTAGATTTTTTTAAATACTAGTATACAATGTATTCATATAGGTATATATCTATAGCGACGAAGCACCTCCTAAACCAACAGTGCCTTCAATAACAGTACCAACCTCTGATGACTGTGCAGCAAAGATCTTTGCTACAATCACGCCCTCTACTCCAATAATGATGACGAAAAATATGACGACATCCCCAACCTCACCGGCAACAGCAGAATCAACGATAGTTTTAAACAAAACGAAATGTAAGAAAAGTAAAAGATCATACAGTATGAGATTTATTTTCAGAAGGGTGCGTATACTGAGTAAACTCGTTCATGTCTTAATTTAGAGTCGACCGGTGTTATCAACAAATGACGTAATCATAAAACAAGAGGCCCATGGGCCACATCGCTCACCTGAAAAGCTTTGACCATTCTATTCTTTACCAGATTTCCCCCTTGTAATACATATTGCATCCCCAACCTGTCCCACTGAGCATAATTTAGAAATTTTGAAATCAACACTACCCCCATGATCCTTCCATGAGCACATATGTTTCAGCTTTTCTGGTCCAGTGGCTCTTGAGAAGAAGATTTTCAAAGATTTTTCCTATATATTTCTATATAAAACTTTGATTCCCCATTGTGGCCCCGCCCTTCCCCCGGGGGTCATGGTTTGAACAATTTAGAATCTACTCTATACCAGGATGCTTCCACATAAGTTTCAACTTTTTTAGCCCAAGGTTTTCTTGCGAAGAAGATTTTCAAAGATTTTTCCTATGTATTTCAATATTAAACTTTGATTCCTCATTGTGGCCCCGCCCTTCCCCCAGGGGTCATGATTTGAACAATTTAGAATCTACACTATACCAGGATGCTTCCACATGAGTTTCAGCTTTTCTGGCCCAGTGGTCCTTGAGAAGAGGATTTTCAAAGATTTTTCCTATATATTTTTATGTAAAAATTTGATTGCCCATTGTGGCCCCGCCCTTCCCCCAGGGATCATCATTTGAACAATTTAGAATCTACACTACCCCAGGATGCTTCCACATAAATTTCAGCTTTTTTAGTCATGTGGATCCTGAGAAGAAGATTTTCAAAGATTTTTCCTATATATTTCTATGTAAAACTTGGATTCCCCATTGTTGCCCCGCCCTTTCCCCGGGGGTTATGAGTTTTACAATTTAGAATATACACTACCCCAGAATGCTTCCACATAAGTTTCAGCTTTCCTGACCTAGTGGTTCTTGAGAAGAAGATTTTCAAGGATCATTCCTATATATTTCTATGTAAAACTTGGATTCCCCATTGTGGCCCCGCCCTTCCCCCGGGGGTCATGATTTGAACAATTTAGAATCTACACTACCCAAGGATGCTTCCACATAAGTTTCAGCTTTTCTGGCCAAGTGGTTCTTGTGAAGAAGATTTTTTTATGACCCCACCCTATTTTTGTCTTTTTTTGATTATCTCACCTTGCGAGGGGATATGTCCCTTCACTTTAACAATTTAAATTTTCTCTCACCCAAGGATGCTTTGTACCAAGTTTGGTCAAAATTGGCCAAGTGGTTCTTGAGAAGAAGTCAAAAATGTGAAAAGTTTACAGACGGACAGACAGTCGGACAGACAGACAGACAGACAGACGGACGACGGACAAAATGTGATCAGAAAAGCTCACTTGAGCCTTCGGCTCAGGTGAGCTAAAAAAGTTAGTAACATTTACATTCAAAAACTAAATGTACTGCAGTGCTCCTCGTCCTTTTATTGTGAATAAGCGTTTATGGCGCCACACTTTTTATGAATCCGTATCAGGAATTGTAAATTAAATGTAACGGACACTGAGCAGCGATAAATCTGTGCTGATGCCATTGAAAATGATTACAGCAACTAAGATATATGAATGTTCGCTTTACCCTATATAAGTATAAATTTCGGTGTGAGTTTAAGAATTCATATAATTAAATACATATGTCTTATAATTATCTTCATGAAGTCATTTAAGGAAGGATATTCACAGAAAAAAAATTCCCAGGGACACAACATTTATTTGAATCAACCGCATAATAAATTCCTTTAGAAAAAAACTCACGTGGTCTTTTTATATTCGAGTATTGAAAAAAAAATCGAGAGAACGATGGTGTCCGGCGATTTCCTTACGACGAGATTATGACTGAGAGTATACAACTGAAAAAAGAGAGGGCACAAAAACATGGTGAGTAGCATTCAAAATCTTTTCGTTTTTGTCTTTATTTTTCAGGGTTGTTTAGAGTGGAGTGGAGTTGAGTAGACAGTATGTGATAATCTTTTAATTTATCGATTTGATTCTTTATAGTTTCAGCACTGTTTTTAAAAAGGGTTTAAACCAATTTCTATGTATAATTTTGAATTTTAAAAAAATTGCAATATTTTCTCTGTGACTGAAAAATAGTTTGTTTTTAAGACCAACAACATAAAAAAATAATTCATCTATTGTTAACATCAGATTTCGCCACAGTATATAAAATCTTGATAAAATTAAATAAAATTACCGTAAATTTTTTTTTACTCTTAAACTGGTGTGATTTTGAGTTATTTGTTTAAAGTTAGGTTGGATTGTCTCGTAGGATACATTTTGAAATTATATTCTCTTCATATTTATCTCACTTTGATTTATTCATTATTTATTTGAGTTATGAAAAAAAAACAAAAAAAAAACAAAAGGTCCACCTTTATCGCTTTGAAACACTTAAAGTAGATTCCTTATGTTTAGTGAGTATCTATTGGAGATAGTGTTTGAGGTCACTGATATTGTAGTGATAAAAAAGAAAGCTTTTACTTTAAAATCTCTCGAACAGAAGGGTTACAGATGGTCTTTTTGCTTCTATTGATAGCAAGTTTTCGTCAATATCGTTCAGTGCCATCAATTCTCTTTACAAGGTCCTCAATTAAAGACCAACTGATCAAAAACATGTGTATAATTATTTATATAACAAAAGCAGTCACATTGAAACATATTTTTCTTAGGGTGAAAAAAATTCGACAACAATGAAATCGATAACTAAAGATATTACATGTACTGAACTATAGGTAAATTCAAGCGGAGCAATATAAGAATCTATATTTTAATCCAATATTCGAAATATGAAATTAAAGATAAAATGAATAGGTAACTTTCAAAACTTGAATTGCAGCCTCAATGCATATAATTGACGGTTTTGTGACTCAACATAATCGACCTCCAACCAGCCATATACCCAACGGTGTATGAATGAGAGAGGTGAGCGATATATATTTATATTTTTCCAAATTACTATATCATTTTTAAAAGAAAAACAACGAGCAAAGGTTGCATAGGAATGAACAATTTAACACACCATTATTAAACAACAAATGCTTTTTCAAAAAAAAGAATATCAGGAATACACATGCACATGTAAATAAATCGGATTTCACCAAGAAATACACTAGTGGAAAACATATTTTTATTTAGAATATATATTTGATTTGAACAGAATAATGCACATTCTATCTTTCAGAGATTATTATACTTCTTTTTGAAATTGTAATGCTAAAAATTTTGCCTAATTTTTCCTTTGCATGATAGTGTGTACAATTTGAATTATGCCTGAATAGGAAAAAAACTCATTGAACGCTAAAGTATTTTTAGAGGAAAAGTCTTATTCAGTACACGTCATACTGTTCAATTAAATGTGTGGTTTTACTTACATGTACATGTTGAAAATACTGATAGCGATCGCACTTCCAATCTAAGTCAACTACTGGGTATATGACGCTTTCCTTAAAAATACAGTCAAGGTAAAAATCATTTTAATACTGTTAAGCTTAAATTTAGAAAAGTATTATCTTTTTTAAACAGGAACTAAAAATATAACTTCAAACATGTGTAACGCAGTAATATTAAACATGTCCATATAAATTCGTAGTTGACAAACCTGATTAATTTTACAATGTGTTTCAGATGATGTTTGTATATGGGATGCTAATGAATACTATTATTGTCTGTTTTCCGTGGTTTGATGCCTTTTCTGGTAACAATTAACACTACATTCTTACGATGCGTCAAAGATAACTAGCATTTTTAAAATAGCAATTTCTTTTCTAGTACTTGTATAAGAAAAAATATTTTTTTAATAAAATATTACGAGCCTTTTTATAAGCAGTTTCATAAAATTGTAATTTCACAAGTCAATACTTATAATAAATTTTATTTTTTTCCCTATGTCTTATTATTTTCAAATTTCGTACCTTTTAACTAAATAAACTAAATTCTCCAAAGATATACAATTCTTTTTTCTAGATGGACAAAGTCTCCAATACTGCATTTCAGAAAGTGAGTTTTTCTTTTTGTTTTTCCTCCTCTGAGTTTTGGTGAGCTATTTTCATCGATTCCCAAAAGTACTTTTGAGGAAGTTTACTATTCAAGATCAACCACCGTCTACAAAGAACGGGGAAACATAACTTATATTGGTTAGAAATATATTGGAGGATTGAAATCTACAGATTTAAGTTTGTTTTAGAACGAATTGTACATGTGCGTAAATGATAATTATGATTAATACATGTATATACAATTATTTTTAGATACGTTTTTGTGATACAGAAATGTTTGTTGGTGGTATTTTGTTCTGAAATATAGTTGTACGGTCAAAATTTGAATCTGATTCTGTTCTTCTCTTTTTTTTCGTTTTTTTTTTTTTTTTTTTTTTGTTGATAAACTACTTTTAAGTCTTACTTTTTATGATTGTTTAAATTCTAAGCAATAGACCATATCAAAACTATATCTTAATTAAAAATTTTCTTTGAGGCAATATAGAGTATATACATTTGCCGACACATTTTAAAACAATGTAATTTTTCAAAGATTCAGCAAAACATTTCTCAAAGCATAGAGCATAGGACTGTTTTATTACGGACCATTTTCTTTAGAATAAGTCAATTGGCGATTTTAGTCTGAAAATAACAAATGATATCATGTTATTGAAGATGGTCTTCCTTTTCTTCATACCGCATTTGTTCACAACTTTTAACGGTTTTTATATTTACTCTCCGACACAACAATGGTATATGAGGTACAGGAACATATTTACATATATACATGTACAGAATAAAAAGTCAAGAAAGGAAGAGTAGTTTGAAATAAGAAAATAATTACTGAAAGCAGGCCAGTTTCTTTTTAGCAAACAAAGAAAGCTTTAACAGCGAGTCCCAAATTTGTGATGGACGTAATTTTCTCAAACTTATAAGTATTAACATGAGCGCAATACTTCTTATCAATAAGTTTTATACGTAAAACCGAAAAATATGGAAACTCACTCATAATGTTATGATATTTAATACATTTTCTAAACTTAAAGAAAACCTGTACATTTTAGAGCATAATATAGCAATTACTGTACTTCTTTACTTCAATCTTTATATTTTTGTTCTAATTTTAGAACCTTGCGAAAGTGCAACTGCAGCAACACTATTTGAGCCCAAACATAGAGCAGTAAACTGTCGATACAATGGAACCGAAAATTACTGTGATCGCTATATCACCCTCGGATGGTACCGATTTGACTTTGACCTGGTCACTTATCCCCCCGCCTTAGGAAGCTGTGGAGCGTTGTATCCATACTGGTTAAACGGTAAATTTATACACAAGAACATATCAGCTAAATGCAAATACTGATTTGATTTCTGGAATATTTTGATGTATTCTGAATTTATAATTTGAACTGTATATATATTGAACGTATCCTCAGATATTAAGATAATACACTACTTATTCTACGTTTGTTAAATATGTAATGACCTTGTTTGTAAAACAAGAGTAAGTTGGTTTGCATTTTGTCTGACTTGTATTAAATATTGTCTTAGGGCACAGGGGCCGGTAACATACTGTTTTTTATTTTACATAATCACTATATATATACAAAAAAGGAAAGGGAAACAATGGCAGCCTGAATTTACACAGGTTCGATCTCGGAAATATTTCGTATCTCATAGAAAAAAGAATGTAACCAATTAAATTATAACTAGAAATCATACTACAATGAATATTCTTCAATAAAACAGAAACCTCGTTACTTTTTATAGCGTTTAAGTTGAGTAATACTAATTCGATATCCCGTTGTGTTAGTCGATGTACTTTAAGTCGTCCACTAAAACGAGGCAAAATTCGCACATTTTCTCCAGTTTTGAAGTCTTTCCGGGGATTTGAAAACACAAAGTAAAGGTCCAGCGTTCACGAAAATCATTTTTTTCTTTCGTTAATTGCAATTAAAAGGTACAACATCTCCGATTTGAATAAATACGGTAGCTTTTTCGTTCACAGAGAGGCTCGAGCCCAGAACAGACGACATTTTGGGAAAACCCATGATTGGTAAAAGGCGGAGCGTGATTGGTCAGATCTGTTCTAGGAAGGCACCATTCACCAATCACATCTCGCGTTAAATATTGGATGCAATGTTTAGCGAATTTAGTGGACGACTAAAACTACATCACTTGCATGACAGGATATCGGATCTGCAAAACACAACTTACATGATTCTTAAATGACCTCAATGGTATTTTTATTAAAGGGTGATTATTACTGAATGATCCCAGACGTTATTTCACTAATTGCAAGGTATTTTATTGAAAACACGAGTCATTTCCGAGATCGACCCCGTGTAAATTCGAGCTGACGTTGTTTCCCTTTCTCTTTTTGTATACATAAAGTGATTACATAAAATCAAATACAGTATGTTACAGACCCCTGTGTCTTAGGGCATTGCTTCTTTATAAAGTTTGATCACGAATTATTTCGTTTTCGTTTTGAGAACATTATAAAAAAAAATATCTAAAGTTGGTTTCTCGCACACTTGTTAATAAAGTCACAATAAGAATTCGAAACTGTGGTTTATTCAAAGCACATTGTCGTTTGGCTCTAGATTCCCGTCCAGAGAGCTCAAAATACTGATCTCATGACGACAGGCTCGGACAATAGGGGGTTTTTACTTCTCATAGTTATCTGATCCCACCTCGGGGATTTTCGAGGATCTGTATTTTGCCCAGTTCATTGTTCTTTCTTTCTAGATTTATTACAATTCTCAGGTAAGCTTGGACTTTCAGTAATGGGTGGCATTCTAGGCGCATTGTAATAAGCGTCTGTCAAATAGCGAATAGATTGTCAATGGTTAAAACATTGAATAACATCAGGAACTTTAATTTGTTCGGATTATCCGACTTCAGCCCTGCCTCTCTGCCGTACGAGAACTTTCAATTGGCTATTTGTACACTGTTTGACATTTGGCCAAATTTCAATCCTATGTATATTTCAACAGTGAAAGAAAGTTGTGTATATTTCAGTATAATGAAGTAACGTCGAGATTGCCACACCTTACTGAAAGTCCAAGCTTAACTGGAAATTGTCTGTCATTGAACACTATTAATCTTTACCATTTACAGACATGACTCTTTTCATGTCATTATGAAGACAGTCCTATTTCTTATTAATTTTAATTCTGTCAAAAATCTTAGATGTGCCCTTCGTGCATTTACCATAGTTGTTTGTTTCCTTATGAAAACAGGGCTATAGTATATTGAAATCATGATTAAAAGTCATTGCAAGTAATACAAAATGGATTAAAAGAAAACTAGGATGCGTAGGATAATCAGAGATAGAATCAGATGCCATAGAAAAGTGATCCCCTCGTTTTGACTTAAGGAATGTTCCGTTTACTAAAAGTATAAATGATCTGATTATTTGTATAAAAATGTCATTCAATAAATAAAATAAGGAACATATTGTATCAGTAAATATTAGCAATGCATCAGCCAAAGAATATAAAAAATGTTTAGTTTAAAGCACATTGCACAAACGCATTCATGTTTCTCTTGTGTAAAATTGGACTTTTGAAGAAAAAAAAGAAGAACGATGAAATACGTTATTTTCACGGTATTAAAGATTTATCATCTTTATTTTAATTATATTTCTAGAGAGAATATTTTCAGTCATTTATTGTTTGAAAATCAAAACAAGCTAAATGATGTGGATGTAATATTAGCAGATTATGTGAATCTCTGTAATACTTTAAATTCCCCTACCTCAAGCAAATTAAAAAAAATATTTCTCAAGACATGTTTTAACATTTGATGGTACGTACTTAAGATGTAGTATTGATATTGCTCGGATATGATAAAATAGCGATAAAGGTTTTAATTATCAATATTTTTCAAATCTGCCACCGATCTTAATATATTTTTCTACAAATGATAGTGTTGAATTTTGATCTAAAGTTCTAATAAATCAGTGAAACTGTAATTTCTGTAATTCTTCAAAATTTTCTTTCTATCAATAGGAACTATTCCATTGGGAGATGAGGAAGAAAAAAATTGTGACCGTTTGCGAAGTTGGTTTTTCGCACACTTGTACTAATAAAGTCATAATAAGAATTCGAAACTGTGGTTCATTCAGAGCATATTGCCTTTCGGCTCTAGATGCCTGTCCAGAGAGATACTGTTTTGGTAAGTATAACTACAACAATGTGAATCAAGGCGGATTTCATCTACTTATTGCTTTTACTGTTGTGTAAAACATTATGTATTACATAAACAACACAGTAAAAACCAAATGTCGAGACTGTAGCTTTACTGGTATATACTTATAACAAAGAGAAAGAAAAAGAAGCAGTTAAGATCTGAAACGTTGCAATAGCAATAAATAGATTGATTGATTGATTGTTTATTGTTTAACGTTCCTCTCGAGATTTTTTCACTCATAAGGAGACGTCACCGTATGCCGGTGAAGGGCTTCAAATTTTAACCTTTACTCGGCACTCAGGGCCATTGAGCAGTGAGGGATCTTTATCGTGCCAACGCCTGCCGCTGACACGGGGCCTCGGTTTTTAAGGTCTCATCCAAAGGACCCGCAACTTTCACTTAAAAGTGCCGAGCGCATGACGAAGGAACAGTTGCTACCCATTTTAACGACTAGGTCAGTCGCGGCCGAGATACGAATTCACGACCTCCCGATCACGGAGCGAGCGCTCTACCGACTGAGCTACCGTGAACGGTAGCAATAAATAGAGTAATGATCCTTGATAAAGCCTCTTTTAGTGGCAACATTGCATCAAGAATACATATTTTATTTTATCAATTTCAGTATCCATGGAAACATCATTCATCTAAAATCTTTAAAAAAGACAATTTTATAACTTGATGTAGTCTACTTGTCTTCCACATTTTATTGGAATCATATTAAAACTGTACTAGGAAATGCATTTTGAAAGCATTTCACAGAAATTGCTTTTATAGTAATTTCAGCAATACCGTTCATCGAAATCAAAAACCGATACATTAAATTATGTATCTAAGTGTAGTCTACATGGCTGCCAATTTACACTGAAATCAGACCAAAACTGTAAGAGCGGTAGCATTTTGAAAGTATATCATGAAAATTTGGATTTCTTGTAACTTTGGCAACACAGTTTATCGAGATCAACAACCGATAAGGACAGCTATGTATCTTAGTGTAGTCTACTTGTGTGCCAAATTATATTGAAATCAGTCTAAAACTGTAGGATAAGTAGCATTTTGAAAGTATTTTACAGCATTTTCTACTTTTAGTAACCACGACAATTTTTTTTTCTTTTTCTTTTCAAATTCAATTCTTTATTCACTCAAAACCAGATCACTGGTACAAGAGGTACATATATACAAACAAAAATTACAGTCAAGGGTAAAAAATAGACAAGTATATAAAGCAAAATAAGAATGAAATAAACATATAGTCAGTTATCTATACTATAAATCACATGGAGGAGTCAAGAAGGACAGACAGTTTAAAAAATTGATAAATTTTGACAATGATTTTTGTATTTCTACATTATTACTGTTCATTATTGTATAAAATTTGAAAGTGTTAGGATTTTTACAGTATCTATTTTGGAAAAATATTTAACATACATGTATATATATATAAGTACAATGATTACATATCTAATGCCTCTAGAGAAAATATTTGAAGGAAAAAAATAAAGGCCATACATTTTAAGACTTACAAATTCTGTATAGTTAAAAATAATGTAGTGGTATTTTACAATATTATATCAGTTTGCAACATATTTCTGTAATAGTTTTAATTATAACATCTAGAAGGGAGGTAAGCCTTACACCATCTCAGAGTCCCTTATTTTAACCCCCTTCTTGCGTTCGTCCTGAGGGCCTGGTCCCCCTCAAAGACATATTAAACAATTACATTTTTTCAATAGATTTTAAAAATATAAAGAGTATTCTGTATCTCCCATAGTGTGTAATATTTCAGAATAATTCAAAATACAAGATTTTAATTAGAATAATATCCCTACATCTGTTTCATCAATACTTTCTAATCGACAATACATTTTATATTTGTATATCTTTAATGCTACAAACGACAATAACACTTATCAGAAATTGATATATACAACTATAATTTAGTGCAGTTTACTTGTGTGCCAAGTTATTTTGAATCAGACCAAAACTTAAGAGGTGTAGAGTTTTGAAACATTGTTTATAAGCAGACAGACGGACGAAGAACATTTACTACATGCATTGCATAAACTCTTCTGGTCTCTAAAAACGCGGATTTCTTTAGTTAGTTGAATAAACTGATGTATAAGGCCATATACAAATATATAAAACAAATACACAAAATGAATTAAACATGCACCTATGTGTATATCAATCGTTATGAAAATCTAACTTCAAAAAGTATATTTTTTTAGTTGGGATATATATTTTTTGGCATTAAAATTGATTTCTAGGAGAAGTAGATCCCACATGTCAATCATCAAAGGCAGAAGATATCACGACAACTGTAACAGCTGGAAATATCGCAACATCATCTAGTAGTACTAAATTTGTAACAAGTAATCCTATCGCTACACTACCCACTGCTAAATCTGAAAAAACCGTCCCGATCGCAACACTACCAAGTGCTAATTCTACAACTCATCAGAATACAACACTGTCTGGTGTTGGTTCTGTTACAACTGACGAGAAAGCAACACTGTCTGGAGCTAGTTCTGTAACAACTTATCAAAACGCAACACTGTCTGCTGCTGATTCAGTAACAACTGATCAGATCGCAACATTTCCTGGTGCTGATTCTGAAACAACCCTCAAATGTGCAGCGATACCTGGTGCTAATTCAGTTACAACTAAAAAGGTCGCAACACCGTCTAGTGCTGGTTCTGTAACAACTGGCCAAGGTCATGCTCGGAACATATCACTACCCGCTGATGTTTCTGATACGACCACCCGTATCGCAACAGTGCCTGGTGATGTGTCAAGTGGTAAGAAAAATAAAGGAATAAATATATATAGGAGTTTAAGACAATAACGATATTTTATCATCCTAGTATGATTCCTTTCAAAGAAATAAAAAATGGTAATGTATTTCCCCTCTCTTTTTCCAATAAAAAAAATATGACCCAAAATGTATTGCAATGAAGTCTTGCACTGACTGAGTGTCATTGAGAGGAGCAGCATTAGTACAAATACTGTAAATCAACTTTTATTCGCGTCCGAGAAATTTTCGAGAAGTTCAAGAGAGCCTGGTCATCGCGAATATTTCTCGCCACAAAACGGTCCTTAATAAAAACAGATTTATAAATGTTAATCGAGAACATAAAATGTCGCAAACCAGTTTATCCCTTGTAAATCGCGAAATAAAGTCGTCGCGAATGAAAGTTGGTTTACAGTAAGCAATTTGTTTTATTTCCAGTAGAAAATACAACGTAGGTATATTGATATACACGCTTATCCAACATGACATTTTTAGTACATCATTTATTTCTTTTTAATTTCCAGGTAGTGTAAATACAGTGCCTATTGTACCTTTGGTTTTAATTCCTTCAATACCGGTGGTGGTCATTTTGACTGGGATTCTTATCAGGTGATAAATGAATTTTACCTGATTCGACTTAAATCTAGTCACATTAGACTACTGTAGAATTTTGTTCTTTATAACATTTCTAAATAATTATAACAATAACAAAGATAGTAAAGATAGCGAAGTGTAACCGATCTCTCTAGCAAATCTACAAAGAATACATGTACTTATCATTGAATGTGACATAAAACAACAGACCAGCCACAATTTCAGAGGTGGGATCGGGTGCCTAGGTAGGTTAACATCTGATTTTGACAAATTACATCCACAATTAATCAGCGATATAAATATTATATACAAAATATTTACTTAGCACGTGTCTAGTTTATTTTTGCACCACTTGATCATTTAAATATTGGTAAAGTTACTCTTCTGTCTTAAGGACATTCGATCCTGTGATTTTGAGCGTATTTTGGTCAGGTCCTTTATTTATAAAATTCTGCATCATTTTTAAGTTCTAACATTAAATTTGAATTCTACAGTGCAAATTTAACTATTTCCAATAGAAAAACCGCGATTAAATTCCATTCAAGTAGAATTAAGCTAGGGACTATATTTTGTGCGGAAGGTATTTAGACGAAAATGATCAGTTTTTCCATTTTGAACTATAACAGTACTTTTAATTTTGGATTCCTATTTTTCCATCCTGGTTGCACACAAAGCTGCTTTTTGCAGTGAAATGTCTTATGCTGGTTCTGAAATATCTATTAAATTATTTCTCATGAATTATATCAACAAAGTGTGACAAATATAGTCAATATATTCTGAAAATCCGAGGAAAAATTGAGCATTAACTGTAGCGCCAAAAGAAGCGTATTGACCCCTATTTTCTGACTTGAATTTTAGTTAAGCTATGTATGTAAAAACTAAAAATATACTTGGCAAAATAAGTTTAAGACTTTAAATATCAGGATCGATCGTCGTTAAGTTGAATGCTTTTCATCCACTATAACTATAAAGCATTACATGTATTTGAATGCTGTAAGTCAATTTAATTCCACGGTGTTTAAATTTCACGATATCTCAAAAAGTACCAATTGCGATGGTTTTAATTTCACGCTGCAAGAAATTAATTCAAAATTTTGTAAAAGCATTTAAACGCTTTAAAAACAAATAATAAAATTTACGATGGGTTTAATTTTGCAGAAAATTAATAAATCGCGAACATAGCGAAATTAAAACCATCGTGAATATTTGCCAATCTACAATATGTTAACGTTCGCTCGGTTTTTCTACTAAGCCAACTGTGAAATTGATTTGAATACCATTTTCCATGTATACCATGTAAATATACACGGGGAAACGTGTGTTAACATGACGTCACAATAAGGCTGTAGTGACGTTAGTAAAAATGCAACAAAATAGGGCAGCGAGAAATTCAAATATTAAGAATATTTTACTTGCTTCAAAATTTGTAAAATGTAAATATAAGGAATTTTTTTAGTTAAGTGTTAATTATTTGTGTGTGAATCACACAGACTTTCACGTAGGCATATTTTTCATGAAGCGCTTGCGTGACAAGTCTGTGTGATTCACACACCAATAACTCACACCAAACTTTAAAACTTTCCTTAAATATATTTGTTATACCTTTAAAACTTTGTTCCTATACAAATCTATATGAAAAAAGTCCAACATTTTTTATGTTTTGCTGAGTGGGCAAAAAAAAAAATCGATGCTGGACCGCTGAGTGAGACGTTGGATTAGGCGGAGCTTAATCTCATTCTTATTCGTTGTTGTTAAACAGTGACAGACCTGATGTTACATCACGGAATACAGTACAAAATACATGTATGTCAAAGAATGATATAAAAGATATAACAAAACATTTATTGACAGAGTTCTCGGGCAAAATGGGTTTTGTTGGACCCTCGAACCAAACTGTCTGCCATTGGCCCATTGGCCTCAGGCAAACAGTTTGATTCTTGGGTCCGACAAAACGCATGTTGCCTTCGAACTCATCCAATAAATGTATAGTGTTAACGTTGACATTTCAGGATTAAATGTTATTCATCAGTTTGCAAGAAGGCACGTGCAATTATAACTCAGGAAAATGAATATGACCATCTCAACTTAAGTGCAAGAAATCTTGAGGAGGGCAAATATGATCAGCTTACAGCGAGAATGGATGACAGACAGAGCGTGGTAGAGAACATGGACAGGCAATATGTTGATCTCTAGAAAAGTAACGATAGACAATATGTTAAGTCTGCGGAGAGTAAGGATAGACAATATATTGATCTCTCAGAGAGTAATGATGGACAATATGTTGATCTCTCGGATTAAGAACTATCAAGATATTAATGAACAAGAAGGCGAATTTCAAGAATATAAAGATATCAAATACCAGAAATTGCAGAATTATTGATAGATAAAATGGAATCAAATTTCTGATCAAAGAAGTCAAAAGACTTTTAAAAAGCAAAAAGATTTGTCAAAATAGTCGTTAATTGTGCAACGTATTTTTATTGACTGTGTTTATTGATCTTTTTATGCAAGTGCACTTTGATATAAAATTGCTAAATATTTAAGTTCCTTCTGCGTACTAAATATGTATCAAAGCTACACCGATTTTGTTATCTGAGTTTAAATGTTTCGTCCTTCTGAATTTCACTGGTGTATTATCCGAGTTTAAATGTTTTACCCTTCTAAATTTCACAGGTTTATTATCCGAGTTTAAATGTTTTACCCTTCTGAATTTCACTGGTTTATTATCCGAATTTAAATGTTTTACCCTTCTGAATTTCACTGGTGTATTATCCGAGTTTAAATGTTTTACCCTTCTGAATTTCACAGGTTTATTATCCGCGTTTAAATGTTTTATCCTTCTGAATTTCGCTGGTAATTATCCGAGTTAATAAGTTTTTTTGTCCGTCTGAATTACATTGGTTTCTTATCCGAATTTTAATTTTCGTCCTTTTTGGTTTGTTATCCGAGTTTCACTGTTTTCACAACAAAACATTCCTTACAGTTCAATAGATGAAACATTAGCTCTCCGGTGCCAAGCGCCAAGCGCCAAGCGCCAAAAATTTACAGTTCAATGGATGACACATTAATTAGCTCTCCGCTCTGTCAATTGATTTTTTCGGAAAGCAAAAACATTCAGACAAATGTGACAGAATTACGAACAAATGTTGATGACAAGTGCATTGGAGTCCAAAAAAAAAAAAAGAAAATCCATCAAATCATAGTAATTATGTTATCAAAGCAAAATGTTAAACAATACATTTTTCTGCAGTTTCATTATAATATGCACTAAATTGCAATAAATTTTGAGTCATTAGTGCATTTTAATGTTGAGTTTTGAAACCCATGGCGATACAAAAATGAAAGCATGTTTCCATGATATAAACAACCCTTTAGAATAAAATTTTCGCGAGCCCATCGTTAGTATCACCGAGAACCTGTTTCTTCTTCATCCAATGATTATATTAATCTCCTAACTAAATTTTTTTCAGGAAACTTGCCTTTTAAAGTCCTTTTTTTAGTTTCTTTTTTTTTTGTCGACTCTATTAATATAGCAAGCCTACCAGGCTTCCCTCTCTTACCAAGTATATGTTGGTAAACTTTTCTCGAGTACCAGTTTGGTGCCGAGCGAAACGAGGGCCAAATCGGATGGCTAGAGAAAAGTTTAACAACATATTTAGTACATGTTTCACACGAGAAATAAAAAGTGTCTTTTCAATGGGTGTACCAAGTGATTTGGTACCCTTTGTTCTAGGTGTGAAACATGTACTAAAATGTTTTATGAAAAGTGGAATCCCGAACAATTTGCGAACTAGATGTCCATGGAGCATAAATAGTTATCAATTTTAATGAAATAATCAGAATTATTTACTTGTGAAATTTGCAATTTTCTGAAAGTGTATTCATTGATGAGTCATGACAAAATTCCAAATCTTATCGGAAAACTTTAACAAGTTTGTTTTGATGAGGTGCGCCGTACTGTCACTTTAACCTAGCAGTAATAAAGAGGTTTACTTACAACTTTTCCGACGAACTTGTACGGGTGACGTCATCAATTGTTGTGTTCTTCAACGTCATGACGTAAAATCCGCCGTGTAGGTATAAGTTTAGAACGTGTAATACACGGTCTACGCGTAAGACGTAAACGGGTCAAGTTATGGATCAAATTCTTTATTTTTTGATGCACTTGATTGATTTTTGTGCAATAAATCAAGAACACTAGTCTATTTAAGAATAATTAATGAACGATGAATCCATGATTCCATCAAAGTATTAGTATTTTTATCAATGAAAAGTTAAACTCAAACTGATACCAAACAGCATGTTTATTTTGTAAGCAGGATTCAATTGAAGAAGACCCTGCCCGCCAATGCACCAAATAAAAATTCATGGTTTCTTAATGATTTTTCCCTTTCTGTTATTTTTATTAAAATCTATTTTAACACCTCTTTTATTATTCTTTATTTTTTTAAAATAAAAATATTTTAGAACTATTATATAACATCCACAGGCACTAATGACATAACAAAAATTATAACCCCTCGCCTAAGAAGTTATAGGTTGTAGGCCCATGTGTAACGTCAAGTGCTTGTTGAGATTGTCGAGATAGAACGCCTTTTATGGGAATGCGAATATACACAATCATTTCTAGAGGAATTTGTACTTTTTCTTGAAGATAAGACTGGTCTAGTCACCAATATAACGAAGAGATCTTTTATTTTAGGTTACATTGAGAATTATACTAAATTATACTGATATTCAAAACACTATTATCCTTTGGCTGAAATATTATGTTTACACATCAAGATGTACTAAGAAACCTTTGAATTTATGTGCTGCAATATCAAAAATGAAGTTTTATTTCGAAACACACAAATTTATCTCTTATAGAAATAGTGGAAAAAAAATTTGATGCCAAGTGGAACAGATGGAACCAACTGGAACCAACTTTTTTCTTAAACTCTCTCTCTCCCTCTCCTCTCTCTCTCTCTCTCTCTCTCTCTCTCTCTCTCTCTTTTCTTCCAATCTCCCTTATTCCTCTTTCTACCTCTTTCTCTTAAAAAAATACATCATGTATTAATTCAATTTATAATATTGTATAAAGAGATGTGAAAAAAACATGGGCATTCTCTATGGACCTTTTTGAAGTCATAAATAAGTAACATTATGTGAAAAATTGGATGTTGGCAATTTTGGATATTAGCCATTTGATATTTTTAAACGCCATTTTCAAGAAGACCAAAGGGTTTTTTTCTTTGGATTCAGCATAGTCGAAATAGATAAAAAAAAAATATGCTGGACCAAATAATAATCATTTGCCGTTCAAACTCAAATCTACATGTACTCGTAGTTTTTTTCTAGTTCAACTTAGTGTAATAATTATATTGTTTTGAAATAATAATTCCTGGGTAAAGCTTAGAAATTATTCTAAAAGTACAAAATTAAAAATAACATTTTTACACAAAATTTCCGAAACTGGGAGTGAATTACAAACAAACTCACGCACATCTCATCTTTGACAACTCCTCCCACATTTCATAAATGAACCAATGAAACGAGCTAAAGACTGTGGTAAAGTTAGAGGAAAGCTCAATGACATTAATTTATAACACAAGAAACAATTTGAGTAAGAATAAAATTCAAAGAAACGCCAATCTAAGATTTGACCATAAATCTGATGGCAATTATGAAGTAATAGCATCGATACCATTGAATGGAGAGAGAGAGAGAGAGATGTCAACTTAGAGAAATTACAAACACGTGCAGTAGTACTGTTTTCAAAGATGAAATAAAACAATTATTTATAGATTCCCAGTACATCAATTAGAATATTTAAATAATACCTAAATCATAAGTACATCTAAGAAACTAACAAATCGTCTTTATCAAAAATAATCATTTATACGCGTGAATATACATGTAACATTAAATTTTTAACATGATTGTTGTTAAACTTGCTGATGTTTTAATGTGTATTATTGTTCTTGTAGGTATTAACTCCACAACTTTTCATAGACATAGGCGGGAGAGCCGAGATTCACCTGCAATTAACAATACCTTACGCAGCTGAAAATCTCATTGTAAACGGTCAACATTTTTTTTTTTGGGGGGGGGGGGGGTGATCTCTCTGTGATTGTTTATATTCCCATAAATTCCTCACTTTATTGCGAAAATTGCCGTTTTCCAAATAATAAGTTTTATAGACGCTGTGAAATCGTGATAAGGGGATATTCCTTTAAAGAAAGGGATAAATATGAAACTAATATTTGTAAGCAGGTTTATAAAATGACAATTTTTAACAAGGCAATAATCTAGGCATTAGAGCATGTTAGAAATGGGTATTACACTGCAGTTGATTACCAGCACAACTAACGGTAAAGGAAGTAAAATATTCAGCAATATAAAGCTACCAGATATTCAGGTATTTAAGAATTCTATGTATCATCGTCTATCGAGACTAGCACTAGTATTTCTTACCCTTGTCTCCATTATTGCATTTATGTTTTTAGAATAAAATTTCAAAGGAAAATCTCATGCATGTAATTCATTTTATCGATTGATTGTTGAATGGTCACTTTGATAAAATGTACATCTAGTAATATGTCAGTATCTAGTTGCATAGTATATTCCATTGATTATACACCATGAGAATTTATAACTTCCATACCACCGATAAACAATGTATGCTTCATAAATAAATAAAAATTCAAAAAGTATATTTTTAAAATATCAAATAATCGATGAATACATGTATATCTCAGTGAAACATGTGGAGAAAACGAACAGTATTCAAGCTCAGATGTCATTAAATTATACAAAAGAGATGCAAATCAAACAGGGACCCCCAAAAGGTGGGATCAGGTGCCATGAAGGAGTAAATATGCCCTGTCAACCGGTCACTCCCGCTGAGTGCTCCTTGTCATGAACGAGAAATGACGGTAAAATACGTCGATAAGTCAGTATGTGTCATGTCCTTACAATTTGTAATTAAAAAAAAAAGAAACGATACCAAGACGTAGCCTCGTTTATAAAGGGAAGGGGAAGGGGTTTAGCCAGCGAAAAAAATCAACTTCACTGGTAATAGCTTGATTAGCAAATATGATAAAGGAATAAATAAGGTGAAATTTTCTGGCGGCCGCTAGAAAAATGTGGCACCAACCTGCTTTAGTAAATATACACTAATTTTCTGTAAAGATGATATCGCTTTTAAAAATGATTTAGGAAAAGAATAGATTACCTTTATTCTTTCAATTCTTAAACTGAGATGTGTATTTATTTTAAAAAATATTAAATTTTTTTTTTTAAATTGGTGCGAGAGCATACCCAGGCTTTTCTTGAGAAAAAAAAATGGAGAAAAGGGCAGCATTTGAAGAATTACGTTTTCGAATTTGATATTAGGGTGAAATGATTCTATAACGTGACGTGACATACCTAACTTGACGTTACGTCGAAGTCTCCCCCTGGTTTCACAACCATCCATTTTCAGAAAGCTCTTGTGACCTTATTGGTAATTGGAACGTGGTGAAATTTTCCAGTATTTTTGCATTATGACTCTGTTTTATAAATATGCCTATTGTTTGCTTTTGTTAAATCATGATAAAATTTTAGCAAGAAATTCCACGAACTTTTGGATAAACTCTCGTAAATGTTAACACTAAAAAAAATTTTCTCTAATAGGATATAGATTATAATCTATATCAAATGCAGTGTAGAATGAAAATGTAAATGTTTTGCACAGGTTTACAGCAATCGAACATCTACAATACAGTCAATGTCTACGACAACAATACCAATCCAAGATTGTGCAACAAAGTCAACTACGCACACATTTCCAAAAACCACAACTATGACAACTATGACATCACAACTTAAAGATTCAATGACAATGACAAATTATGGTACAGCAACAAAAATAACAACGGTAACCATGACGTTATCATCAACAAAAACTGCAACTCAAACATCAGCAAGAAACATACTTACAACGCCAACTATAACATCATCAAATAATGAATCAGTGCGAACAACAACACAGTCAACAATGAATTCAACACTATCAGATTGTAAGCAAAATACATTCATTAAGATGGTTGTGTCATATCTATTGCTTTATAGTGGCTTGGTTAGTTAGCTGAGACACCTGACTTGTGAATCTGGCGTCTCAGGTTCAATAACAATGATTGCTTGTTCAACCCTACATCTTCTCCTTTCTTCTTTCCATTTTTTCCCTTGATTACCCTTGTACATTCAGTTGAATGCCTTCAAAGGGCAAACTAGAACTTAATACTGAGGGCAAAGACATTCAAAAGAGATACATATGAAAAAACTGATCTGATATTGCTTAATATTGGCCTTGAGTCTTGGTCAACCATTAAATAACAATGTTCGATTACTCATAGAAACCTCATCAAAAGTAATTGAATCTTACATGTATGACGTAAATGAGGATTCTAAGCTTTCTTTCAATATCAACTTTAAATTACTTTTTTTTTCAATTTTTGTGTAGAGGGTCATGTTATAACAAAATAAGAAAATTTCTGAGCTCCATTTCTTTTCAGGAAGCAGGTGTTTTATGATATCAAAAAATAAAGTTTTTAAAGTATTCACTCCATTACTTCTATGCAAACATAAACAACAACATTCTATGCATGACAGCCAGCCGTGCGTGCGCTGGACGCCGTATTTTATTGACAGTTTCCACTAAACAGTACATCAATATACATATATATAACACAGAACATTGTGTATGAGAAATAAAAACATCAAAATTCCCCAAAACTGTTGCATCTATTATAATATTCTATAATATACTTTGTGAAAAACATGAAAAAAGCATCAGGGCCGGCCAGGAAAAACTAGAGATAAAAATAATTTTTAAAAAACTCTAGAAACCTGTGTCCGTTGCCAAGTGCCGCTGGATGCAAAACTTGTTGCGACGGACCTCACAACCTACCTATCAAAAAATATATTGATTTATACCCTTATCTATAAATTAAGAAAATTAAGCTGTTGCACGCTTAAGTCGGCGGCTAGAAGTGACCAACTTTTAAAAACCAGTTTTCTACTACACCTCAAAATCAATTTCTATTGGTCACTCTCTGACCAATCCACAAAACATGCGTATAAACATCTTGTCATTAATACATTTTCCCGCTATACTAGCGAAACGCGGGAAAATATCATTATTCTGAATTTATGTATCATATTTAGAAAAATATAACGTTTAGATACCGGTGTTACTAACTTTTTACTAACTAATCTGTATTTGATATCATCACTGTAGAACAGAACGTTTAAGTTTTTTAAGGAGTATAGATAGCGGATTGGAGGAGCATTTCCTTGATCCTGTAATATTTCTTTTGTTTGTACGGATTTTTTTTACCGTATGAAGTTTTGGGATAGGAGATAGAAAGAGTTTTTGGGATCAGAGATAGAAAGAGTTCATCAAATTCCTGTTCGTTGACTTATATGTGAATTGTTTAAATGACTAATATCTGACTTACAAGAATGTCATAATTAGAAGGTGAATCGTGCATTTATGTTAGTTTTATCAAGATGTAGAATCGAACAATCTCCTAAAAATACATAGTTGTAATTGATAAAAGAGGCAATATTGTTACAATTCAACAAGTGTCTGCTGGAGCTGTAATACATTTTTTATGTAGTCTTTAAAATTCTTTTACCACCTTCGATTTAGTGAAAACTAAAAATGTACAAGTTTGCATGCTGTCTTTAAGTTAGCTTTATAATGTGATTCCGTAATATATCTATTTTTCATAAACACTGAATCGAATCTGACATAGGTTTTAAAACGGAATACTTTTAGGTTTTGGAATCAACAGAAACAACAATGAAGCCTTAAATTCCAAACAAAATTGCGACCTAGTGGTTACCTCAACATCTGAACAGTTTACAGTCCCGGGCTTTGTATTTATTGTTGTTGTTTCAGTCTTAGTGGCAGTCATTGTAACGGTTCTTTTGATTTGGAGATGGCGTTTGTATGAAATAATTACTTTAATTATTTTAAAAAGAATAAAAATACGCATGAAATTAAAAATAATATGTATTTTTTCCTTCGGAAGCTCTATTTGATTGGATTTTTATTAACAATTAACTGAAAAAACTTTTAAAATATTGATTATTTCTTTTATTTATGTCCTATGAAGAAGATCCAGCAAGTACAAGAAATCGGAAACCAGGAATGGCAATTCGGATGTATCCTGTAATAAAAATCACACTGCGGCAGAAAGCTCTGAGAGAAAACACATGGGTGGTGTATATGAAAACAGTGAACAAACTGCCTACGAAAACGATTATACTTATACAAATATTACCGAATTAGAGGAAAGTATACCAAAAAACAATTCACATATGAATGAGAACTTTTACCAAAAACTGGGTGACGCCGAAACTCGTTTTTACGAACAGTTGGGAGAAAATAAACCTAATTTGTACGAACACCTTGAAGAAAACGAAACACGTTTATATGAGCAATTGGCTAAAAACAAACAGTGTATTTAGAACATATGTCCATTTCAATATTTTTGTGTGTGTGTTTATTTGAATCTATAAGTACATTTGCCTAAGAACCAACGATTCTTGAAAAATCATAACTTTTTACAGGAATTTTGAACTATTATTAGCTATATTGTGTATGCTACATTTCATAAAGTTACAATTCCTTGACAAAGTCCTGTCTCATACAACCCACAAATATTTATTTTAATAAAATATTAACGATTAAAAATATCAACGGCTGCTTAAAGTAAGCTTCCTGATATGTTATTATTGATTGATAATGTTTTTTTTTCAAAAATAGAAATATATAATGAGTGAAAGGCCTTCCAAGTAACAATAGAATATTGTGAAAGATCAAACACGTGAAATTTAAAACCCCCTATAATGCCTTATAGTCTATTTTTTAAATATATAAACCACACACCAACTATCGTAAAATATATTTTTTCTGCTTTTTTGACGTAAGAACGTCTAGGAAATACCTGGTAATCCTACTTATACTCATACTTCTCTTTCTAAGGAAGAAATTCTTCAAAATCACCTGTCAGTTTTGAATACTTTTAATATTCCACAGAGCCAAAATGAATTTGAACTACCTTATATATATTGGATTCCGAAACTTCATAAGAATCCTTACAAACAAAGATACATTGCAGGTTCCAGTAAATGTTCAACCAAGCCTCTTTCGTTACTTCTCACTAAAATATTGACAGTAGTGAAGGAAAAACTTCAAAAGTACTGTACAACTGTATATTCAAGAAGTTGTGTAAATCAGATGTGGATACTTAAAAATTCTAAAGAACTTTTGGACAATTTGAAATCACAAGGTTTTACCAAAATCAACAGCTTAAAAACTTACAACTTTTCAACTTTATACACAACAATTCCCCACGACAAATTAAAATCCAGGCTTTTTGATATCATTGACAGCTGCTTCTTCAACAGAAATGGAACTCGTAAATTTACTTACCTCGTCATTGGTCATTTGAAAAATTATTTTGTTAAAACAGATTCTGATTGCACACATAAGTACTCTGAAGTTGACATCAAGAAGATGCTTGAGTTTCTGATTGACAATATCTATGTGGTTTTTGGAGACCAGGTATTCCAACAATCTATTGGAATTCCCATGGGTACAAATTGCGCTCCGTTATTAGCAGACTTATTTTTATATTCATATGAAGCAGAATTTATGCAAAATCTTATGCGTGAAAAGAAGAAAACACTTGATGTGGCCTTCAACTCCACATTTAGATATATCGACGACGTATTGTCAATTAATAATGATAATTTCCATTCCTACGTCGACACGATATATCCTGGTGAGCTTGAGATAAAAGATACCACAGAGTCCGACACTTCTGCTTCATACTTGGATATTTTACTTGAAAAAGACACTAATGGTAATCTAACAACCAAGCTATATGATAAACGTGATGACTTTAACTTTTCTATCGTCAACTTCCCTTACTTATGCAGCAATATACCTTCATCACCTGCATACGGAGTATATATATCTCAGTTGATTCGATACGCAAGAGCATGCTCTACGTATGAACAATTTCTTAAACGAGGTAAATTACTGACAAGCAAGTTGATGAAACAAGAATATCAACAGTCTCGTATAAAGTCATCATTTCGTAAATTCTATGGTCGATACAATGACCTTGTCAGCAAATACAATTTATCATTGAATGAAATGCTGACTGACGTTTTTCATACCAATTGTTAGTCCATTATTTATACACTGAATTGACGACGGATTTTTTCCGTTATTTCCTGATTATGACAACGAGCACACGGCGGGTGTGACCGGTCGGCAGGGGATGCTCACTCCTCCATGGCACCTGATCCCACCTCTGATGTTTCGGAGGTCCGTGTTTGCTCTGCTCTTATTTTGTATATTGTTTAATGGACGTTGAGATTGAATACTGTTCGTTATTTCCATATCCTTCTTCCCAGGTGATCTTTATGTATACAAATGTATGTATTCACTATGATTACGCAACAACACTTGATTGTCCAGAGAGTGAGGGGTGAAATCAAAAAGGATGAAAATATAACTGTATTGTTTAACTTAATAGACAGTGCCAGGTAAATTTATATTGAAATGAATAATTAACTTGAGTTCTGACTACTTTCCAAGAAGTAAAACTTAACGGGTGAAGATGTACTCATCTAATGGAGAAAGTAATACATATTTTTTTTCAAAACACAGGCCAAAGGGTGGTAAATACTCTGAAGTAGGTAGGCATAAGCAGATATGCAGATTCCGAAGTTGGTGTTCAAGTTTTGAAAAAAAATATAGCAAATCTTTGTGAACAATCAGGATTTAAGGGACACCATGTAAAACATTCTTTGAGAGCAACAGCGGCTGAGATTTAGCAACATCAAATAACAGAGAAAAACGGGTCAAAAATCTATTACAGTTTCATTGATTCAACAATTGAACCAACGATGAACTGCAGCAGACAGAAAATGAAATAATTTTGATTTTAACTTTTCTATCGTCAACTTCCATTACTAATGCAGCAATGTACCTTCGTCACCTCCAAACGGAGTTCATATCTCAATTGATTAGCTAAACAAGAGCATGCTCTAAATATGAAAAGTTTCTAAAAACGAGGTAAATTATTGACAAACAGTTCATGAAACAAGAATATCAACATTATGGTTTAAAGGCTTCATATCTTAAGTTCTATGGTCGATACAATGACTTGCAATTGTCAGCAAATACAATATATCATTGAGTCAAATGCTGACTGACGTTTTTCATACTTATTATTAGTCCATTATTTATACACTAAATTGACGACATATTTTCCAGTTATTTCCTGATCATGACAAGGAGCACACGGCGGGTGTTACCGGTCAGCAGGGGATACTCACTCCATCTTGGCCTCCGTAGCACTTGATCCCACCTCTGATTTTTGGGAGGTCCGTGTTTGCTCTGCTCCTATTTTGTATTGTTTACTGACGTTGAATATACTGTTCGTTATCTCCATATCATTCATGATTTTAAGACAGTTTTTAAGCGGTTAGCTAGCTAACCGCTTTATGGCATGGGCTCCAAAAAACCGGAAACTTCCATAAGGCGCTACCTATCGACATCGCTTTATGGCACGTAACCTTATCCTTCTGCAACCAAAACCGGAAATTTCCACAAGGCGCTACCTATCGACAACGGTAACTTCAGCAAAGCGCTTCCTATGATTTGTATACTGTTGGCGTAATACGCCCCCTGGTGAGAGATTGACAATATGCTGTGTATGAAAAGTGGCTATTATAACGATTATATCGAATTCTTATTTAAGTATTTACCAAAGCATTGACAATACTTAGAACACTAAGTTCAAAGAACTGAGAATTTGGTCCTTATTACATGTACATCGTGCGATCGCGATTTATAGCAACTGTTAGTTTATCTTTGAAAGTTGAACGATACGGTTAATTATACAGCAGGTTGAAGGTTATTACAGACTGCAAAAACATCAGCAAATCTCTCGATCGAGTTTGATTGTCCTTGCCAAAGTATTAAGAAACACCATTTATTAAGTTAAGTAATACCTGAAAAACGCTGTTATAAAAACACCGAATACATCTGTAAGGTTTACACTTTTTGCAACGTTTTTATGGAAACAATAGGATTACCTCCACAATGAAACGTTTGTTTTCTTCTCTGTCTAATAAACAGATTATAAAAGCTCTGCTTCCAGGGATAAATTCTCTACCCCGTCTTTGATAATTTATTACAAACGATCATAAGGGATCACTTACTTTGAGTTTTGAAAAAAAATAATGGGGCACTTAAAGTAGTAAAATTAATTTTGAAAAAAAATGGATAAATATATATTAATCTTAATCAGCATTGTGGTCCTCTTCTAAAAATCAACCGACATTATTATTTACAGAAGAATGAGGTATGAAAAATCTTGGCAATTAGCAAAAATTTAAAATATATACTAATGCTTATTTATAAGTTTTGAAAATTTGATCAATTCCTAGGGAACGTATTATTAGCTGTGAAAATACTTTTTAAATTTGAATTTATCCAATTTGTCGATTATTATTTTGAGCGTTTGAGAAGAATTAAATTAAAATACAGGTGTTTAGAGGCACATTGATAGAAAAAAATCAGTGTATATTGTTTAACCGACATATATAAACCGACAAGAAAATGACACCGATAACTTCTTAAGTTACACTGACTTTTAGTGTACATTTGAATTTTTAAATACTAGTATTGATTGATTAGACAACTTTCCTTTTCACATGTTTTATTTGAGAACAATATTGCATATAGAGTATATGGCAAATACACATTATTGTGCAAGACTTCTTTTAAATGATTCTCATAGACCATTTACTTTATTCGAACATTCACTTGTTTGAAAAGTCAATAAAGTACATTTCATAAAGCTTGATAATCTTGCTTACTCGCCAGTCTTCCCGTAGAAGTAGTAGTTCATAATATTTCTAAACGGAAGTATCTGCATCAAAATACAGAATGATCAATGATCGATTTAAGAAGAAAAACTGACTCCTGAAAGTTCAAGAGGTGGGATCCGTTGCCTAGAAGAAGTAAGCATCCATCGTTGACAGGTTACACCCGCAGTGAGCCTACACATCTGGAGCTCTCTGATATCAATTCATTTACAAAGTCTCTGCTCAGCCATCCTTTTTTCTCTGACTAGCAAGCTGTAGATCTACACTACTCCAAATCCATTAATCTAAAGAATTTAACTTGTCATTTTTTTAGTTGTTTGCTATAGTAGGCTTTACAATTACCTAATTTCAGATTCAATAGAGCATGAAAGACAATTAAATTTTCAACATCAACATAATTGTTTTAATCCAGAGAACGATTGGATGCCACCAAGAGAGAAGTTTTAAAAATGCACTTCCTGTCTTTCAAACTGAAGAAATCTCATGTTTGAATTTTGAAACATGCATTTCAATCTAATTAAAATTTATTTAAATGTTCCAAATCCGCTACCGCTTCTCAAACATCTAACATCCCATTCGGGGTCACATCAGAGCGACCTTTCGCTTATGAATACATGTACCAGTAAACACAAACACTTTGGCTATGTAGATTCAAGCCTCGGTAAATAATTCTCAAATTAATTCCACGGCTATATATCATCATTATTGATACTGTCTTACGTTGAATTAAAGTAATTTTGGAATTTCATGTATAGTCTGCAGTCTGGCATCTGAACGTGAATAATGCAAACGAAAGAGCGCAAACTATACAAGATACCCCACACGTCATACATAACACAGCTTTTGCAATGTATATTTTATTTACTACAAAACTCCTCGGGTGTTTTGGTTCGGTGGTGAAAACAAGAAACCCATCTGAACTATAAGCCAAGATTTCGGAGGAACCATTTTCTGTGGCTAATCGAATATTCACTCTTA